CGTTGACTCAAACAACACTAGTGTAGGAAAAAAATGTTGCATCAAAGAATGATTGTCAATGAGGAGATTGGGGGTGTCAAACTGTTCAATAAATGAGTAAAACGCACCTTTAAAAAAAAAAAAAAGTGGTTGACCTCCAAAATGTGAGCGGTACACAAGTGGGAGTTTTGCTGAATGGGAGCAGGACAGGATGGGAGTTGTTTTCACTGTGACGGGATAGGACAAGGGTTATTTAGTTATTTATTTTTTAGACTATAGTCTAGGATGAGATGGGATTTTTCTTTGTGGGAGTGGGATTTCACTCCCGTGTCACCCTTTTCTGCACACCTTGATGCCAGCAGCAGCCTCACAAAGTTCCTCCTGATCCTTTTGAACTTTTGAAGCAGGCTTGCTTAAATGTGCTGTTTTAGCTGTCAACCTCGCCACTGTAGCTGTGAGGTCACTTCTTCTCATTGACCAAAATGTGGGGAGAGATTTGTCTAAAACCTCACAAATATTTCTAATAAGGAAAATGATGTTCTGCTTAGCACTATTTAAACTCAAGTAAAAAATGGTGAGAATCCAAAAAGGAAAACCATTTGGCCGTTCATGAAGTGGAAATGTTTTGTTGTTTTTATCTTTAACCAAGCCAAAAAAATATTACATATATTTATTATATTTGATAGAATTTTCAGTATATCCCAACACCAAAAGATTCTTTAGCTGCAGGCCTCATGTTTAGTAATCTAAATGAATTAAAGGTTAGGTTCAGCAACAGGTGCTAGATTTATACTAAAGCGTCTTGGCTTTAAATTACAACGCCGGGTAAAATCAGTCTTGTACAAGCTTTTGTAGGTCAAAATTAAAGACAAAACCTGAAAATAGCCCAATAACTTGGTGTGTTTGGAAAAGCAGAGACAGTTTTTAAACCAGGGTCAAAAATATGTTCCTGGTCACATCAAGCCATCTCTGATTCAAATTTGTTGTTGACCAATACACTCGTTATTATTATCACCTCTGCAGTTGTCTGTGCAGTGGGTGTTTTTTTTTTTTTTTTCAAGATTTGGGCATGAAGGAATGCAATGAGAGCTGTGTGAGGTGCATGTGCAGAACCAGCACTCCAGAATTGGACACCGCACATGAACAGTGTATGGAAAACACGGCACTTACACCAAATGGCACTTCAAGTGGAATTGGACGTCGAGAATTGGACCTTCATTTTCTTAGCTGGAGTTCGTCTCAAGCATCCAGCGGTGCGCAACGGAGCATTTGGACCTCAGATTTGCTGACGGATTCCCGTCCTGTTAACCTTCACATAAACATCAGTTCCAGGAAACCGGCGGCTTTTATGGGCAATGTGCAATTGCTACAACTTGTGATCTCAGGTGAGCGTGATGTCACAAAATGAAACATTAACCTTGTGATCTCCCTCCCTCCAGAGATCTACCGCATCGTGTCCCAAAAGCAGATGTCGGAGCGGCAGGAGAGTGACATGTCTCCCAGCAACAATGTGGTCAACATCCAAGTGCAGCCCACTGAGAACAAACCAAAGATGCAGTGCTGTCAGAACATCTAGCTTGGCCCTGGCTCTTCCCACCCCCTGCCTCCAAAACCCCAATCCCGTCCCCCTTCTTCCATTCTCCATAGTCCCTTCAGGGCTGCAGGGCTGTGATCTGAACTCGCCACTACTTTTAACCGATCTGTCACCCCCATTCACATCCCCTCAACCCTCTTCAACCCCACCCCCGCCCACCACCCGTTAATATGTCTCAGTATAGAAAGTTACAGCGTGGGGCTCCTTCCTCGCCCCAAGCTGAGCCACTCTGTCTGTAGGCTCGTAAGGACGGAAGGCTGCAGCCATTTCATATCACTTTAGATTTCATTCCTGTTGTTGCGCTGACATGTCACACACAAAAAAAAATGTCTTAATATATATATGAATGTGATTTCTTTCCCTCTTATGTCTTTATACTTTGTGCCCCTCTTGATTTTTCTGATCTTTTTGTCTATTATATCAAATATCAACTCCTCGTATATATATGAATATAAAGCACATGGAAGTTGCTCTGAAGTGTAGTCCTCTTAAATGAGCTCCTGTCATTGTCTGCTCCCCTCTTTGCCACTTAGTGCAATGTACCATTTCAGAAACCACCTGCAGGAGTGTCATGACTTTTGATCCCATTGCTGTGAACATGACGCTAGTGAAATGTAGAACCGTCAGTCCTGCTTATGCTGTGGAGAGGGCGGGCTCGCCTCAAGCGTGTGGCCTCCTCATGGGCCGGCCGTTACCATCTCGTTTACAAAAGAAAGCAGGTTGGGGGCAGCTTTGCATGTCTTTGAAAAGATGGCCATATGCTGTGCTGCATGTTTTATTCGGCGAGAGACTCTGGGCTTTGCTGTGGAACGTGGCAGTCGCCTTGAAGGTGCGCCACCTTGAAAGTGCAACGTGTTCATCGGTTGTCCTTCGTCTTAGAGGCACTCATACTTGTGGGGTTGGGAACTTCTGCTTCGTATTGAGGAACAGAGCTTACATCTGTCTCACAATTAACAACTATGCAGGAACGAGCACGCAGCTGTCCCGATGTGTTTTTCTTGGTGCACAAGTTGAAAGCTTTTAAATCACATTGAGAGAAGCTAGCGACATTTCTCTGTGGTTCTCGGTGCATGTGACCACTGTTTGACTTGCTTGGTTAACCTTATAATTGTTTTTGTATTTTTATTTTATTTTTGCACTGAACCTTATTAGCTTTAGTAAACAAGCCTAGTCTAGTTTTCACATCATTTCTCTCAGAAGAAACGTTTTGGGTTTTTTTTTTTTTTGGGAGGATGGGGGGTGTAACTCCACATCTGAGTCTTAACAACTTAATTCGAAATTGCTTGGTCAAAAATAGTCCCAGTAAAAGAGTTTGAGTTACATGAAATCAATGATGCTTACAGGAAACGATATGAGGATTCATCCACTTTCTTGGCTGTTGTTTTCTGGTCACAGTGCCTCCTTCACCATTCACCTTTGCATCCCCCCTCCTCTAACACACATAAGTGGTCCGTCCCGTCAAGGAATTTTCCCTGTCACATGAAGCCTACTTTACACCAAGCTGCCTCGGACTTGAACACAATGCATGGCTTTTTGGTGGGACTCCACGTTATCCGCCTTCGGTTGCTGACATCAATGTCCATCAAATCAGCTTTGGTGTATGAGGATGACAAGCTGAGAAGTGTCAGTCCAGTACTGTACTCCAGAGTGTTCATTCAGCTTCTAGTCATGTCCAACGTTGTGATGGGTGTGGCAGGCATATGCACGACCCGCACTTGGTGTATGTGTACGTGTGTGTGTGTCGAGGCAGAGAATGGATGGATGGGTAGTTCTGGAGTGTGTGAGCCTGGCTGGCAGTACCAATGGCGTTTCCTCGAACAGACGGCGCCGCCAACCAAGCTTCTCCATAATCGTAAACTGGCAATCTGATGATGAGTCAAGGTGATTTCTTTCCAAAACAAGAAAAATATTCAAGATCATAATCCATTGTTTTGTGTCTTTTGATTCAGTCTTTTTTTTATTTGTCTTTTTTTATGTTTTGAAATTCATAAACTGACTGTAATTCCAGTGTAAGAGTGAAATGTCATTTCAATGATTATGAAGGGTTAAATGTGATAGGGGGCTCGTAATGGTTTTATGTTTTGTACAGATTGATAAAATTGTACAATTGTGTCTATCTTAAGTTATCAGCTCATCGTAATAAAGCGCACCAGTCATAAACCTTTTAGATGTTTTGTTTTTTTTTTTAACTGGGAATTTCAAGTAACGTTATTAGGTACTACCACTCCGTTCCCTGAAGCTAATCAGTTTTATTGGTTGGAAACATGACCAGGAAAAAAGAAGCCGATTTGCATTAAAAAAAGTATACTAACTGGATCCATTTGGAACCGTCACAGAAGGTAATTTGAGTGGGAAACAAATCTTGATTGTTGAAATGTCTATTGTGAAGGTGTACTGATTTGCCAGTTTCACAGCATCGATCTGTGCGAATAGGGTCTTATACATACATTTATGATACTGTAGTGCTACTTGATCTGTAATAATAATGCTCATATAACAAAAGTTAACATTGCCACAAAATGGAAGTAACCCATCTAACTGTTGGACCCGAAAATGAGCAAATAAAAGTCGCTTGAATAAAAGAGTCTCAACCAATCCTGGTTTATATCAAATCCTCTCACTCAAAACTCCAAAGTCTGTGTGACAGTCTTATGCGGAGCCTGTAAGATGACAAAATTTGCTCCGACTAATGTAAAAAGGAGATTGCTGGCTAACTACTGTGCTAATCTTTGGCATGCATGTGTATTCATCCTGATGTAACAACAAAATAATTACAAGTGGACAAAGTGTACACCCATCACAACACTTTTCTATACAAAACAGAAGAGACAATGTAAAAATAATGTATGATATCTGGCTTGCTTGCTTGTGTCTGTTTGTCCTTTTCAGTGTCCACTTAGAGGAGAGTACAGGACAAGCTGAATCAGCCAAACTTGCTGACACACTCACACGCGTATTCTGTGTACGTGTGCATGCTTTCAAATGGTCCAATTCATCAATTCCACCTGTGAATGAATGAAAAACATCTGCATACCACCAAAAGGTACACTGCTGTATATAAGTATACCTGTATTGGCTCCACTGTTTTTTTTTTTTTGGAGGGGGTGGGGGGGGACAGATATCGAACCAATATCCAATATCAATATCGGATCAGGACACCCCTACATTACACTTTAAACATACCACTACCAACAATACTCAAACATTTTAATACCATTTCAAAGTAATCTTGAAACATTACTTTCAGATTCTTGAAGGTAGACAACAAACTAAGCTTCCTACCTCCAAATTGAGTGTAGGCCTGCTTGATGTCACACAGTGCTGTCACCAACTGCTCACAAGGCATTGGCTCCTGGTACTGCAATAAATACCTGAAAAGGAAAAAATAATGCTCAAAAGCAACATTTCAGACTTAAGAGATGGGACGGGGGGTGGGGAGCAGTTAAAACACAGAAGTTTCATGGCACTAAACACCTAAAATTGAATATATTTACAATGATAAAATATTAAATAACATTTTCTTCGTCCAGTTACCGAAAACTACAAAAACAAACAGCCTCTTCACAGTTTCCAAGTATTTCAGACTGGATTTCATCCAGTTCACAGAGGGGCAGGCAGGGATAGGCATATAGTGGGTTTCCAGTGTGTGTGTTTGTGTGTGCGTGTTCTAGAGCAGCGAGCCAGTGGGACTGCCGGGCAGAGGGGGGCTGTGGCTGTGAGTGGGGCTGTGCCGCACGGGCAGTAGGTCATAGTGACTGGGGATGTGGCTGTTCCTGGGCAGGTCATAGAGATCTTGCGGGTAACTGGACACCACCACGCCTCCGGCTCCTGGGATGATACTGATGGTGGGCTCTAGGAGAGACAAAAGACCAACGCTGTCATTTCTGCACTCCTTGAAATTTTAATTAATTTTTTTTTATACTGTATACCAGGGGTGTCAAACTCATTTCACATTGTGGGCCACATACAGCCTCGGTAGATGTCAAGTGGGCCGGACCATTAAAATTATACACTACTCGGCTTTATGTAATCAAAATATCATGTCTTTCCTTTGTTATGGGATAGTGAAGCACAAAAACATTCGAAAAATGTTTACATTTAATGAATTTATGTTTTCCAAAACATTTCACAAAACACCTTAGATTTCCTTTGACAAATGTACAATTTACTTTCATCATTCACATATATGCATTGCAACTGATCCCACTGATTGTACAAAACTTTAACAGGTAATTGGTATTGAAAAATATTGTCATGCATTTTAAGATTAAACGAGATATATAAAGAAAGGAATTTTTAAACCATTTACACATGTACATATAAAATCTACATTTAATCCCTGTCTACACCTTACAAACTAAGGAGAAAACAGTGGCGGATAATCCATGCATTGCATTTTATTAAAAATATTCATTCCGTGTCTATGCATTTTTTTCACTTTTAAATTATCCTGCGGGCCTGATTGATCCTCCTTGGGGGCTGGTTCCAGCCCGGGGGCCCTACATTTGACACCCTGCTGTATACAGTGGTGTGAAAAAATGTTTGCCCCCTTCCTGATTTCTTACTTTTTTGCACGTTTGTCACACTTAAATGTTTCAGATCATCAAACAGATTGAAATATTAGTTAAACATAATACATGTAAACACAAAATGCAGTTTTAAAAAAGTTTTTATTATTAAAGGAAAACTTTTGGGTTACTTTTAACCAAGCAGTTTTAAGAGCGTAGGAGAGTTCAAATTCAAGTCAAACGTACCAATGTTGTAGACATTCTTGGCAGGCACGTTGGTACCAGAAGTGGTGATGATGGTAGCCGCACAGCAGTGTGCCACATGTTGGTGGTGAGCTGGTGATTTCATCTCCACGTAGCTGCTCTCCGTGTGTTTGCATGCCAAAGCGGGTGGGTCGTTGATGGTGGCGTACGGGTTTTCACTGTTGAGGGAGCACGTGCTGGACATGGAGCTTTTCACGTAGTCTAGGTGAGGAACGAACACAAAACAAAAATGTTTATTGTCAGTTTTTGCACTCTAGAAATATCCTCGTCCAATTACGTATCAAATGTTTTACTTCCAGAGAACGTATATGAAAAAATATCAACATCAGAAGTCAATAAAAAGGGTTAAAAGAAAGGCATTCGGAGAAGCTCGAAGGAAGAAGAGCAGACAGTGATAACTCAGCGGAGGATAGATTTTTTAAGTGAGCATGGGGAAAGATGGGGGTGGCACACAGAGGACAGGAATCGGTTGCAACCTGCAGACACAAACACATTCATGAGGACAGGCTCAGACACAGCATGTCAGCAGTGTAAGGAAACAATCGGGTCCAAATAAAGATTGACGACATTTTCAATTTGCATGCTGCACCTCTTTTGCTCATCTTGTCGGTCTTATATTGTCTTTTATTATGTCAGTCGTATAATATAAAGGCAGTAGCATTCACATAAAATAGCAAATGTATTGTTATGCATCATTTGTGATGGACGCCCCAAACTCCATCTATTTTCTATTCAGGCGAGCCAATCACAGGGCACACATAGACGAACAACCATCCACGCTCACACTCACACCTAGGGACAATTTAGAGTGTCCAATCAGCCTGCCACGCATGTTTTTGGAATGTGGGAGAAAACCGGAGTACCCGGAGAAAACCCACGCAGGCCCGGGGGAGAACGTGCAAACTCCACACAGGGAGGCCGCAGCTGGAATTGAACCTCTGCACTGTGAAGTCGATGTGCTCACCACTGGCCCACCGGGCATATAAAACGAAACTACTACTGTTCGGTTTGGCAAGACATTTGCACATTTTGTTTATTTTGTAGCTTTGTGACCTTTAACTGTTCAGAATATAATTAAATCCTCATTTTTTTCATCCGATACGGGCTCAGGTGAATATCACGTGATCGACCACCATTTCACAATATCACTGAGTTGGAACACCACTCACGCCGACATTTTTTTTGGTAAGAGCTCTTTAACATTGTTTCCTTGAATACAAGTCTGAAGTAGTCTGTCACTCTGTTAACTTCAGGATTTAAAAGGCGAGCCCAATTTTTTATGTACGACAACCAAGTTCTGTCAAAGTGTCACAGTGTTATATCTTGAGTGCTCCAATGTCAAGACACAACCGAAGAGGTTCAAAATGCGGGAGAGGTAATATGGGTAAAGCGTTCAAAAGAGCGGATTGGCGGAGGAGTTGGTGGTGATGAGGTCATGAGTCGAGGTCCTCATCACACTGTACCTTTGTACTGTGGCTCCACTTGGTAACTGTAACGTCGGTCAATGCAGTATACACCTGGATGGTAACAACAAGTTATTTAAAACAAGAAAGAGGGGTCCGCTCATGAATGAAATTATTTTTTAAGTGTTGAGTTTCTTTTTTTTAAGTGAAGGTGGTGGTGGGTTCGGGTGATTTTAATTCTTGTGTAGCACTTTGAGTTGCCTTTTTAGGTCTGAAAAGTGCTGATTTCATGGATTCATTGAAGTGTGATGCAGTCAAAAAGATGGAAAAAAGGTGCGGCAGTGACTGACCCAACTCACTGAGGTTACAATAGGCTCCCCACTCCGGAGCACTGTTCCTGTGTCGTCGTTTGGCCTTCATCTAGCAAATAAAAGGAAAGCCTTATTACACAGACGCGGGAAAGTTTGGGACATTGGTTTATTTTCATATTATTATCATTAGTTGATAAGCCTATTATAAACTTGAAAAATAAAATTGAACTCACACGCTGCTGTACATTAAGCTTATAGAATCAGATCAGAGGCAAATGTCAGCACATTATCAGGTGTCCAATTCAAAGCCCGCCACATCATTTTATGTGGCCCACTAAAAGCGAATAAAGTTGGTCCACTTGATATTTCTTGCTAAACGGCTTCGTTCCTTATGAGTTGAGCTCTCCTCAATGGCCTCTTCTCATGAGACTTTAGTAAACATTGCAAAAATGAATATACGGATATTGGTACAGAAGTTACCTATTCTGAAATGAGTTAAATTTTATGAAAATACCCTGTGACCTTAAATGGTTTGACTCTTATGGGAGGACAGCATAGTTTGTTCTGACCTGCTACTAAACTGTGATGGACATGTTATGCAGCACCCTCCACAATTATTGGCTCACCAAGTTAAGATGTTTTCTTTAGCTTCTAATAAATGCAGTTTTTTTCCTAAAGTACATCTAAAAAAGGAGGAAAATCCAACCTTTATTTCAAGTGCATATATTCAATGGAGAAAAATAATCCTACATAAACACCACATATTCTCCTCATACAATATTTCATTATATGGGAGATTACATAAAGACAGATCTTTGACCAATCCTCTTTGCACAATCTCTTGAAACCATCCAGCCACCCGGGTCCTCTCCTCTGCACTCTACTCTTCAGTCCCTTCCACAGGTTTTCAATGGGATTGAGGTCTGGGGAGGAGCTTGATCCTGTCTAGTGAACCATCTCTACAATTTTCAGGATGAGAGTAGGCGTCTGCAATAAAAACTGAATCCATTTTAAGGCTTTGAAATCATCTTGACCAGGGGTGCCAATAATTATGAGCTTGACATTTTTTCAAGAGTCCCGCAGGGCTTCCTATGGGATGGGAGTCAACTTTACCTTTAAGCACAGGATTGGGACGGCACAGGACAAAAAGTTCACGGGAGCAGGATTATCCAGGAGGGGTAAATAAATAAATAAATAATCAGACGAATGCACAGCCATTTTAAAAGTAGCTGACGTTTCAAAATGGGAGCGACATGGGAGTGGGAAACCTGAACGGGAGCAGGATGGGAGGTGTGGGAATTTTTTCTCTGGAAGCATGACAGGATTTATTTATTTATTTTTTACGATGGTGTGGGACTGAGACAGAACGGGATTTTTTTTCTGTGGGAGTCAGGATGGGACGGAAGTGAAAATCCACTCCCGTGTCACCGTCTCGTGTGTATATTTCCTGCGATGACGTGTGATAGAAGCTATGTAGGCCCACCTTGGTGGAGCGCGTCTTGTCCGGTTTGGCGTAGTGGGCGGCGTAGGTGCAGGGGCCCAGCGTGCGGTAGCTGGGGTTAGAAAAGCAGCGGCCTATGGAGCTGTTACAAGGTGATGACTCTGCGGAAGCGAGGAGGCCAACGCGCTGAAGCCCTGCTGTCGCCACATGACATCACCACATTCTCTACACATCATCGTTTTATATATGCAATCAACACATAAGGCGGGACATGACAACCAGACTTAAATATCTGGTAACCGGCGTACAAAGTTGGAAAGTACTAAAAAGACAGGACTACTGGATAGAAGTCCTTAAGTGGCACTGAAACAATGTTGCCTTATTTGATGATGATGATGATGATGATGAATGCTGCAATGGAAGGATTGGATGAACTAATTCATTTCAGGTACAGCATCAGCAGCAACATGGGGGTAAAGTATCCCACTAAATGATGATTTAACAGGGTTCCAAGGAAGCAGAGGATCAAACTGGAGTTGAGAGAAGCGCCCTACGTTTTTGAAAAAAAGAGAGAGAGAGCTTACCAGAAAGGGAGTATTCGGTGGAATTGATGTGCAGGGCGGGTGTGTAGGTGACATTGGGGACATGCGGGCCTTTCTCTCTCTGTCGGTAGCGCAACCACACCACCAGAGCCAACATGGCCATGATGAGCAGCAGCAGAAAGATAATGCCCAGGATGGCGCCGGCTGATTGACGCTCTGATGCAAGAGCGGGGCTGATCTTGGTGTAGGGGTTCAGCTCCTCCATCATCAGGGCCGCTGACAAGGAAAATTGATGGGAAAACATGTCAAACGGTACTCCGGGTCTACAAACCTCTGAATGGTCCTGAGCCCAAATACTGTACTGTGTAGTCATTAATTTTCCTTCCCGATGAGACCTCCAGACCCCTCAGGTCATCGGATGCAGGCTTAATGAGCATTTCCAGAAGCAGAACTATGTAAACAAACGGAGGCTTGTATGTTCTTCACCTGTGGAACAAATTTGCTGAGAGCTGATCCGTGGATTGATGTCTGGCCTGACGACTTTATTGATCACTGCTGCTTTTTTCGTAAATCTAAGATTATTCATATTCAAGGTCTTGCTTATCATTTATCCTGTTTTTATTTTGATTTTCATCCTTTCATGTTCTCGTTTTAATCATTATTTCTTTGCCTCGATAGATTTTCTTTGTGCATGAGTGGTGCTACACAACTACACTTGCATTGATTCAGCTGTATTCCATTTTTGATGGTACACTAGCATTGCATTGTTACATGGCACAGCTATCCATGCATCTCATATTTTCTTTTAGGATAATTCCAACCTTGAAAAAAAAAACTTTATGGATCAAAGTCAGTGATGAGCAAAAGTTCGCGTGCGCCCCCTTGCCCACACTTGGAGTGACCCACAATTAATTTTGTCAAATAGAAATTTACGATAGCTCAGCAGTTGTAATGACAGTGTTCACCACTAGATGGAAGACTACCACCAGCGCCTCCAACCTCCAATCAGTTCAGTGATTCAAAAGCAGTGGTGGCAAATCCAGGCCCACAAAATTAAAAAACGGTCACAGCTTGGTTTTAGCCACAGGTGCGTTTATTGACCAGCGGGTAAAGAGTTATTACTTTCTGGACCAGGATTTGACACCTCTGATCAAAACGCAAACCTATCTCTGCCTTGTTTGCTGAGAGATGCTATCAACCAAAAAACTAAATAGTCACTGCGTCACCAATTTCAAAACCGCAATGTCTTTTTCATAAGAGGCAGTTCATTTGAAGTGCATGAGAGTTGCTCAATTTGTGTCCTTCAAAAACTCGGATATATTCAACGCTTAACAGTTTTACAAACGCAGATGATGGTATGAAGAACCGACTTTTGTGTCGGATGGCGGACTGGCCATGCAAAGGGGATGCATCAGGGACAAACTCACAAGTGAGTGAACCAGCCTACAAATTTGAGATCATCCACGACAAACAATACAGACACATAATATACAAATCTTTGAGTGATTTGATTTTTCTGAATATATGTACAAAATGAGGTGCATTTCTTGTTGGTTTGCTCTTCAGCAGCTTTATGCCAGAAGGGGAACATTTATGTGTGCAAGAGAGCCCTTTGCGTAATTGTTTGCTTGCTTCAAAGCCTTTGTAGTTGAGTTATGAACCTTTTCTACATGCCCCTGAGCATTGAAATATATTAATATACACTTGCCATTGTATCGTACCGTATTTTCTGCACTATAAGGCGTTTCGGATTATAAGGCGCACCTTCAGTGAATGACCTATTTTAAAACTGTTTTCATATAGAGGGCGAATTGCATTATAGAAATAGAAGCTACAATAGTGGCTGCGGTTGCATGATGCATCCAACAGATCGTGCTCCACTAAAGGGAATTCAATACAATCTATTACAGATTTATTTATATAGAGCCTTCACAACCGCTGCAGCTATAACAAAGCTACGAGAACTGGTCACAAACACGGACATAAAACATATAAATACAAATGACATTACCAGACAATAAAAGAAAGACAAAAGTTATGAAGACAATTGATTCAACAAAAAGTAAAATAAAACAAAACAAAAAAAGAAAAAAATCCTGGGCTCACATTCACAAGGGGCTGAATATCTTTAGAAGTCTTGCTTGTCTCATTCCTTCATTTAGTCAGTAGTTAACTGTGCTTTTGGTATTATCTTCGTTTCATAATGGCTGCGCATTAGTGTCGGGCAGAAAGACCCCCTTTAAATTATATTTGGTTCCTGCTAATCATCACCGCAAGATGGCTTAGGGACACTAACAGGGACAACTCAATGGGAAATATAAAGAGACTCCATATAAGGCACATCGGATTATAGGGCACACAGGCTTTTGAGAAAATTGAATGCCTTTAGGTGCGCCTCATTGTGCAGAAAATAGAGTAACGTGCTGATCAAAATAATTTTAAGTCTTTCAGTTAACGTTTGACAATATCATTGCCTTTACGCTATCAAGTAGCCAAACGAACATGGCTAGACATTAGCGTTTGTTGTGCGGTCCTTTTTCATGGTTTAATAAAGTGGACTTCATGCATGTCCAGAATTTTGCCCAACACATTCATGGTTCATGGTAGACGTGGGAACAAACACAAGAAAAAACAGTATTCAGAATTATGGCGAATAAATAGATTTTTGTGTCATGGCGCTTTTTACGATACTCCCAGTGTGCAAGGTGGTGTCGATGAGGAAAACAAGCTCAGCAATGGCAAAGAAAATGACAGTGCTTCAGAAATTAAGGTCAGCAAAACCTTGTTTTTCACTTGCTCTTGGTCCTGTGTGTGTTGTGGATGTGTTGTGTGTTGGTTCTTCTTGTGTGTGAATTTTGTTTTCTGGAACCACATGGGAACATGGCATGGAGAAAAATGACTTCCTAATTACGGTGAGTGGAGGGAATCCATGGGCGTCCGATCCTGTGTGTGAGTGTAACTCCCCCGCTTTGTGCATGCGCTTGTTCGCACAAGCTTATTTGAAAATCAGTACCCATTTCTAGCACCAGAAACAATTTATGTATATAGCCTAGCATGTTTGATCTGACTGAAGGTTTAAGAGCTAGCTGAACCTCAGTTTACTGTGAAGTAGGTTTCAAATACAAAAAGGACAACCTTTATTCCTTTTTAAATATATGTTGAATATTCTTTACTTTTTATTATTTAATTTTTGGACATTTTTATTTCGAAGCATGTGGCATGCTACAATCTGCTGATCTTGAATAAATGTCAAACCTTCTAAAATCTATGTTTTTTTTATTCTTCACTCAGATATTACTGTATAAACCCATTACGTCGATCGCGATCGACCGGTTGATTGCGGACTGGTCCCAAATCGATGCGAGGGGTGTAGAGGAGAAAAAAACAAACAACCATTTATGTGTCTTTGTGCATGTTAGTAATATTTTTTTGTGTTAATGTGCACTCTACCCATACTATCAGTCTCATTTTCACAAATAGTGTCATGGTTTTGTTTGTGACCAACAGGTGGCACTGTAGGGCTCCTCCTACAGCTGCACACCTGTTGGTCATTGTGTCATTATTTTGTTTGTTTAAAAGGACTCCCGGCACGACCACTCAGTGTCGGGTCTTTGTTGCTGTGCGCATGTGTCATGTTTTGTTTTCTGTCTTGGGTTTTTTGCTACTTTGATTTTGCTGGACTTTATTTGAGTGAGTTTTTGAGTTAGTTTCTCCAGTGTATTCCTGTTTGCATTTTTGTTAAATACATTTTGGTCACTCCACCCTGCTCCTCCCTGCTTTTTGGGGTCCTCCTCTGCACTAACATCAGGCAAAAGATGACAAATAGTATTAAAAAAATAAAATAAAATAAAGCAGGTAAATCTTAAACCTGCGTCATCGGAAGTTGTTAGCACTCAGCAGTCTGGAATTGCAGCTTGTGATCAGAGTTGTTGTGTTATATCTTTTATCATTATAATTATTCTCATTCAGAGTTTGTTTCGTGTACAATTCACCGAGGGCACGGGCAAAGAATAGGAATCTAGAAGGCCGAGGGAAGCACTTTAAAACGGTACGTGTGAGCTATGCTAGTCAACAGGCTGCAAAAATGGCGTGTATGTGCGTGCGCGGTAACGGGTCGATCGCGGGAGGTTGGTTGATCGAAAAGTCGATCTTCGGTCCAAAAAGTTTGGGCACCCCTGTTCTAAACATATTCTATACTGTACATAGCACATAGAAAAATAGTTATTTTGCTGAGGAACGAATTACTTTTACGAGGTTGTAAGTGAGTTAGTAACTCAGAGAGAGTTAGTAACTAAATTACTTTTTGAGAAATGACTAATTATTTAACCCTTTCATGCACCCTGTAACCTGATCACGTGATCAGCTGTCCACTGTCGTAACCGCTGCCCCTCAAAGGGTTAAGTAACATGCCCAACACTGATAATGAATTTGAAATGCAAGAGAGCCCTTAACATGGGAGAAGACTCACCTTGGTCGCAGCGGATGCCTTTGAATCTAAGGCTGCAATAGCAGGTTCCTGTCACGTAGTCGCATGTGGCATTGTTCATACACTCACACAGCTGCTGGCAGCCGTATCCAAACGTCCCAGCAGGACACTCTGCACACACGAAGAGAGGTTTGACATGGCTCACAGATTGTGCAAATGAAACAATGGGAGCATCACTCACTGAGTTCACAGCTCTCTCCAATGAAGCCCGTCCTGCACGAACACTGCCCACTGATGTGGTCACAGTCGGCCCCGTTCTGACAGCGACAAACTTCAGCACACTGGGCGCCATAGAAACCTGTTGGACAGCCTGAGGAAGGACCAAAAAAAAAAAATTGGGTGTTATGTTACATTGAAACCAGTGAGGATGCTTGTTCAGCTAAAATTTGTAATTTGCTTGGAACGCTGTATTCTTTGAGAAATAGTCAAAATGTAATCCATTAAATACTTGATGCAAGGGTAAAACTGTCACCATTATAAAACCGTTTAGGCAACAACCAATGTTTTACCTTGCTTAATATGATATATTTTGTGTTAGTGCACACTGCACCCTTAGCGTCCTATCAGTCTTGCTTTCACAAAAAGTATTTAAAAAATAAAATAAAATAAGAAAGCAGGTCACCTTGAACCTGCGGTGGGCGTGACCTGCATCACCGGTTGTTAGCGGTCAGTAGTCTGCAATTGCAGTTTGCAATCAGAGCTGTTGCGCTATATCTTTTATTGTTATTATTATTCTCATTCAGAGTTTGTTTCGTGTACAATTCACCGAGGGCACGGGCAAAGAATGGCATTCTCGAGGCCAAAGAGAAGCATTTTAAAACGGTACACATGCCTAAGTGCGTCCCAGGTCTTCGCGTCGGGTCTCGGCAAAGGTAGGCAGTGATTTCCTTTTCACAAACTCTTGTGTCTACTTTATTTTTCTGTTTCGTTCATCGTAAGGGCCGTTTTGGCTCTTGCTCATTATGGCATGCGTATGTAAATGCGTGTGTATGCGTGCATGTGCGGTAACAGGTCGATCGCGGAAGGTTCGTTCATTGAAAATTAGATCTTTGCTCAAAAAAGGTTGGGCAACCCTGCTCAAAATTTTCCCTAGGTCAGTCCTTCTCAAATAGGGGAGCGAGATGCGATGCCAAAGTGGCGCATGTGACCCGAGGAGACATGCTTTTGTTTGTTTTGGGGTTTTTTCTACATTTGAATAAAGTTTAAGGGTTAATAACAAGCACACAGACACACAAATGTTTTTTTTTCTCCCTCTATACCCCTTGTGATCGACTTGGGACCAGTCCGTGAGCTATCGGTCAATCGTGAACGACGTATTGGGCACCCCTGATTTAGAGTCTTCAGGGAACTCAACGTACATGTTTTTGGAATGTGGGAGGAAGCCAAATACACCAAAAAAAAACCAAACAACCAAACAAAAAAAACCAAGCACAAGAAAAACATGCAAACTCCACTGAGAAGAGCAAGAGCACAGAACTGATTTGGACGGTTACTGAATGCCTTAAGGCAGGGGTGTCCAAAGTCGTTCCTCAAGGGCTGCTGTCCTGCCTGTTTTCCAGCTCTCCCAAGGGCAACACACCTGATTCAAATCATCAGGATGATTCTCATGCTGCTTCAGAGCTGGCTGATGAGCTGATCAACGGAATCAGATGTGATGCAGCCGGGAAAGATGGAAAACAGGCAGGACGGCGGCCCTCCAGGCCCGGAGCTGGACATGCCTGCCTTCAGGCTAACATTATGAGAGTTAGGTGTAAGACATGTAGTTCCATTGTTCAACCGCTAGATGGTGACTGTGACTCCTAGAATGTGACGCCACTGTGTGCTGGTCGATTAACAGCAGCAGTGGATGCTGACACTGCTGATCTTGTAAGTTAAAAAAAAAAAAAAAATCTATATATAGTAAGTTTTAAACCCGCGATACAGTCAAAGTTCAAGTGATTTGATTTACAGGTAGCTGAAGTGTAGGTAAATGTAATGTGTGTGTGTGTGTGTGAGAGAGAGAGAGAGAGAGAGAGAGAGAGAGAGAGAGAGAGAGAGAGAGAGAGAGAAACATACGCTGAGTACAGAAGAGTCCCGTCCATCCAGGGCTGCAGTCACAGACTCCATCTGTGGGGCTACACTGGGCATCATTGTGACAGTTACATGTGTGAATGCAGTCGGGACCCCACGAGCCATGAGGACAGGCTGCCAACAAGACACACACAAATGTCACCAGGATGACTGGATGTGTCAGCAAAAAAAGTCAGAGTGGACCAAACGGCAAACAAAGCCAATATTGCGTATTAGAGTCCAGTATTATTCATGCCTTACGTTTGGAGCAGTCCTCGCCAATCCATCCTGGGTAGCACTGACACGAGCCATCGATGGGATTACAAGTGCCGTTGTTTGTGCACAGGCACTTCTTGGCGCAGTGTTTACCATATTTTCCACTTGAACATACTGCAGACACACGAGCCAAAAAAAAGGATACGTTTTATTCAGAAAAATTGAATGAATGTTTAAGCAGTCTTAAAAGTCTGGTTTACGAGAATATTTTTAATGAGCTGTATCTTTCCTATTTTAAAAAAAGTACTCTGTTTAAATTGTAATAAAGCACTGAGCAAACAAAACACTTGGGGAATGATCTGTTTTCAGTCAAAATATAATGAAGAAAGATGGTCATGATACAACATTGGCTGAGGTGCGCGCGCACACACACACACACACACACACACACACACACACACACACACACACACACACACACAAAAGATTGAAGGACTCATATAGCAGTGCAATTAATATGAAGGACAGATTTGTGAGGCATGCAATGAAGATGAAGGAGGTCAGACAGTTGGCTAAGTGCAAGGTCTTCGAGCCTCGTTGGTTCCAGGCAGTAACCTGGAATAGATTATGAACATTGTACAGAGTGGGTATTGAGAACAACAATAATGCGGTCCAACTGGCTCTTGTTTAATTTTTGACAAACAATTAGGCCATCTGATGAAAGCCCAAACGTAGAAAAATGAACCACGAGAACCCCAAATCTGCATGAGCCGATTTAAGTGTTTCCTATACAGTTGATAAAGAATGTCAACACTGCACTTCAGCTTTGAGCAGCTTCTGAAGATAGGGTGTCCCTCCTCATTAGAGGGATAAATAGATACTTTACTCATACCAAGGGAAAGAATTGACTAAATGCTGCCTAATCAGATCAGAAATCATGCGCTGACTAAAATCACAATCAGGTCTCCTAATAGCACCGCTTTGCCTTTTAGTCAAAATGGAATAAAAATAAAAATAATGAATTACACCTCCCTCCCACCCCATGAACATCCACAATAATACAAAGTCTTACAATATTTTTTGTTTCCAACTAAAAGATAGATTCCGAAAACAAAAATTGACTTCAACTCAAAATTGGCCTGTAGTATGACTAATTTTGGACTAAACTGTATGTAATATTTTAACGATACAGTATTAAAAGTCCTTCAAGATGAAGAATGTATCTTCTAGTCACATATACCAGTCACCATGAGAACACCGAGATCCAGATAAAACCTAAGCTAAGGATTCATTTTAGGACCTGAAGTGTTCAAAATGGACCTGCATGCCTCACCATGAAGATGAGTTCTCCCCTAACTAATCAGTGAAGAAAATACCTGGATAATTTTGAAGACATTATAATGCAATGTGATCTAGCAAAGACAACGAAACATACTGATACAATAAAAGAAGATTTTAAAAATGCAATTAAAAAAATTAGCGAGTGTCCTATAAAGGGTCCATAAAGTTAGCTTGAATTAAAAGAAATCCCAGTCCTCTCATATACAGTACGGGGGTGAGCGCCTGTAGAAGTGTTTAAGGATAGATGGATGCTAACACCGGACATCGGCTTTATCGATGGATTGGCTCAAAAATGCAGCGAAATAACTAATACAGGACAGGCCGACTTCCTGTTTAATGGCAATGAATATTTTACAGCGCCGCTTCTCCAGTGTCTCCATTTAGAATTCAACTTGGCAATGAACCTTGGCTGCCTTCATTGACAAATTAACATCTGTTTAACCCAAGGAAATGTTAATCACGCTAAATATACTCCTGCGCAGAAAGAACGTGACGAAATGTATTACCCAAAATGGAATGTCTGGAATGGGTGTCATATGTAGTAAGAGTATTAAAAACCGCTTAAGTGACAAAGGAGGTTCGCACTGCGAGACGGATATTCTCACCGCTCTTTCATGATCCAATGCATACTGTACAATGTAACTCTTCTGCAGCGGACAAGAGTCAGTGAGCCACCCATAGGACATCCATCCATCCATCCATTTTCCAATCCACTTATCCTCACAAGAGTCGCGGGGCGTGCTGGAGCCTATCCCAGCAGTCTTCAGGCTGTAGGCTGGGGACACCCTGAACCGGTTGCCAGCCAATCGCAGGGCACACAAAGACAAACAACCATCCATACTCACACTCACACCTCACACTCACACCTAGGGACAATTTAGAGTGTTCAATCAGCCTAAAGTGGTTGCCAGCTAATCACAGGGCACACATCGACGAACAACGATCTGTGCTCACACAATTTATGGTGTCCCATTAACCTGCCACGCATGTTTTTGGAATGCGGGAGGAAACCGCAGTACCCGGTGAAAACCCACGCAGGCACTGGGAGAATATGTAAACTCCACACAGGAAGGCAGGAGCTGGAATCGAACCCTGCACCTCTGCACTGTGAGGTCGATGCACTAACTAGTCGCCCACCGGGCCGCCTGCGAACAATCAGAGACCATTAAATTACTTTTGAATGTGACGATTGACCAGCGAAAGGAAAGCGGAATAACCATGCTTTTTAATCAGCATCTAAATACATCTCCGCTGCCAAGGATTATCTCAGCAAAGGTGAAGGCTCACAAATAATGATTTCAAAGCGTCTGTGAACCACATTTTATGAATATCAACCTTTTTGGGAAACAGCCCCTTCTTTACAGGTTAATTCAAGTCTCAAGAGCTTAGCAAACTAATGAAAATTTTGTTTGTTTGTTTTTTTAATGATTACTTGTTTTTGTCGATTGTCTTTTACAACTTTAAGGCTGAAAAGACTGAGGAGGCCATTTTTCATCTACGGTAGTTCAACCTGCCAGATAAGATGCTGACCCAATACATTTGGTAACACCAGGACAGATTGCTTATGCTAGCAAGCAGGACACGAGAAAAAAATCACGTCACCTTCCTGATGTATGCTGCAGGAAAGATTACGACAGACGCTCCTCATTCAGTCTAATGAGGGTCTCGAGCTACGTCCCCTCTGGTAGGCACAACGAGGTGATTGCTATGAGAACAAAAGAGCACCACCACACACTGCATTTTTCTCCCCTTCGATGGCATAATGTGAGAATCAATTGGAACGAGCATTTCATCATTTGATCATCATTATCATTATTTTCTGTATTATGTTGTACTGTATTGGCCCGAATATGAGACGGCCCTGATTATAAGACGACCCCCTGTTTTTCAAGACTCAAGTTTGAGAAAAGACGAAATAAACTAATAAACTAAAGTGCTATCAAATTCGTAAAAGAATGGCTTCTGATTTTTGAGTTTTTCAAGACTCAAGTTTGAGAAAAGACTAAATAAACTAATAAACTAAAGTGCAATCAAATTCGTAAAAGAATGGCTTCTGATTTTTGAAATGTAAATTACATCATAACTTCTCCTCAGCTGCCGGTTAACCTGGCCGATCTTCAACCCACTTTTCTCCAGATTGTCGCTACGTTTCTCCATTTTCTGTTATCTCTTCTATTGTTTTCTTCTATTTTCTTTCTTACCGCTATTTTTCTTCTTCGTGCTACCGCAATTTTTATTTTTATTCTTCGTGACAGGGGTTCACTTTGGCCTGGGGAGTCAAGTTCTGCATTCACTTCAATGATAACTGGCGCCATCTAGCGTCGTGAATGGGTATAACGTCTACACCCCGAATATAAGACGGCCCCCACTTTTTCTGTCTTATTTCAATGCAAAAAACTCCGTCTTATATTCGGCCCAATACGGTATATAACATTTAAATTAAGCTGCTTTTGGATGTCTGAATGTAAAATTGGGGTTATCGTGACCATGACCACTGACTTGCATTTTTATTTATTTTTCTGTTGCATTCACTGTCATCTTTATATACTGCATATTTCTACTGATATATCCAATTGGGGATAAAACCGCAGCTTTAGTTTATTCACAGCGCAAACCTCTCGAGACAACTCGGTGTCTGTGTAATGTCACAATACATCCATCTTCTCAGTCATGGCTTTGAAATCATGACTGCATTGTTTGCCATTTATTGACTTCATGTCAGATATACATCAGCAAGACTGTGTCCAGCCTTCTGCAACTTGCAACGTGATTTTCAGCTGAATGATCAAACTGTTAGTGTCAGTGATAATCATTTTGATTGATTCTATTGTACTGTCATAATGTGGAGAAAGGAAGGGAGGTACTTCTTTCCGTGTACACAGTACTCAAGTCCTGTCAAGTCATTTTTATTTATGTGGCGCTAATTCACCAGAGATGTGAGAGCAAGGCACTTTCCATCCATCCATCCTCGATCCGACCCGCGTATACTCTGCATATAAATGCACCTCCCACATGAAATAAAAAGACGATGATGACCAGAAAAAAACCCTCCTCCATTCACTTCTATCTTGTATGTTAAAACTAATTACAAATACATACATACACATTAACTTTACACTTACACCCAAATTTACACTTTGCGATTAAAGTACGCTATTTTCCGCACTATAAGGCGCTTCGGAGTATAAGGCGCATCTTCAACGAACAACCTATTTCAAAACAGTTTTCATATATAAGGCACACCGCATTATAAGTTGCATAGAATAGCAGCTACAATAGTGGCTGCGTTTGCGTTATGCATCCACTCGATGGAGCTATGCTAAAGGGAATACAGTATAATACAATAGAATACAGCCTTATTGAAATAGAGCTTTCACAACCGCTGCAGCTGTAACAAAGCATTTTCCAGAACATTTAAAATTCTATGTCCAAGAAATCAGAATCTTGATCCGTACATTGGATTATAAGGCCCACTGTTGGCTTTTGGAATGCTTTTAGGTGCGCCTTATAGTGCGGTACATATACATAGCAAAGTTATGTATACAGAGAAACAACAAAAATGAACGCAAACTCATTGCTGTCAGAGGCCAGATTAATTTATTGCTTGTGTTTATTCAAAAAAAAAAAAAAAAGCACGAGAAGAGAACCTTGAAAAAATGATGGCATATTAAATTGCTATTGCAGTATGTAGGGGAAAATGTGACTATTTTTCCAATTTATTCAGCCCTTGTTTAAAAGTCTCTCCCGGCCTCCATGCCAATTACATGCTATCATGCTGCGTTGTCTCCTGTAGTTTGTTTTGTCCATGGTGGCCTGAAATGTGATTGCTGTGGCCGCCGTTGGCTGCATAGTCGAGCATTCATATTAACCCTTTCATGCACCCTGTAACCTGATAACATGATAAGCTGTCCACTGAAATAACCGCTGTCCCTGAAAGCGTTAAGCGCACAGAGATGCATGCATACAAATGACGATCATTGCTATTTTTGAAAGGAGTTCCTGCGCTTGCATTAATTTGGCTTGTACTTTCTTCTTTTGGTGCCATACTGTACAGAACATTTTCACTGGGTTTAGTTTTCAATTTGGGCTCCCGGAAAGACAACTTGGTGAAATCCTTCGTACACTGCAATTGCATTTCAGAGCGGTCTGTCACGTTTCCCATAAATGTATTCCAATTTAGCAAAGTGCAAACTTACCCTGGTTGCAGAGGGTGCCAAAGAAACCAGACAAACATTCGCAGTGGCCAGTGACGTGGTGACACGCCCCATCACTGTGGATGCACTGAGGACATGACTGGCTACAGCGATGGCCATAGAAACCAGGTGAACATGCTGTACAACACACACACACACACACACACACACACACACACACACACACACACACACACACACACACACACACATTTCGTTAGAGAAGAGTGTCGGTCACGGAGAGGTCTATTTTGCTGGGGGGAGACTCACATTTTCGTTATTATAATCATGATGGTCCTTTTGCTCCCACCCATATTCATATCCTGCGGTCTTTGCAAATCATGCACTTGTAAATAAATGTAATTCCTCCCGTGTGTGAGCATGCCCGAAGCATCACTTTTGCTTAGTTTGCTTTGCACCACTGATCTTCCCGCATGAGCCTCGCTAAAACGTTTAATTTGTTTTAATTGATGTTCGGCTAAGTGGAAAGCCAGGCCATGGAGACTAGCTACCATTTCTCTCACGCTCCTAATTCAGACAATTGATTAAACTTTGAACCAAGAGCTCTTGAATTGATCCAACAGATGCAGGAGAAAACAAAGGAAAGCAGGTGTGGGCAATCCATATATTGTTTAAATGGAAAGCCATGAACAATGTACCGTACATCAGACGGATGAGTGCACTCTATCCAAGTCCAGGTTTTCCAGTATGCACTTCAAGCTATAGACAGACTTTCGATCAAAGGTAAAATGACTTCAGCACACCCAATCATTTTACTGTCAAGTATTTTGGACACATTTTGAACATGTTGCAGATTGAAGAGCCTGATGATGCACAACCTTTTCTAATTTCAAGTTGTTTTTAACCCTTTCATGCACCAATAATGATAACCTGTAACCTGATAACATGATTGGCTGTCCACTGCAGTAACCGCTGTCCCTGAAATGTTAAGGCAGATGGCCTTTTTTTTCCCTTCCCCAATCCTGGATTGCTATCAGAAGACAAAATGACATATTGTACAGGAGTTCAATTCATAACCGTGTGACCTAATCAAATCGTAGCGGTCTGTAATAAACAGAAAATAAAATGACCATTCGGTATCCTTTGGGGGGGGGAAAAAAAAAAAAAAAAACAACAGTTCTTAATAGAAGTGCAAAGAGAACATTGTCTTGTTATTCACTTTGGCAGGTGTTGCCCCAACGGCCTTCTTTCACATACTCATTGAAAACATTGTTGAGTAAATGGAGCATTGCAGCATTTATTTTGAACATAACAGCCTCTGCCAGTCTTTTAAATGATGACCCATCCATTTAAGAACTGCATCGGTCCATTCTGAGCAGGTCAGAATTCTGCCTGCAATCACGTGGCATGTTGTTGGGGGTTGCAGGCAGAGCCCCTTCCGTTTCAATGAAGCGGAAAGGTGTACGTTTTCCCTTTTCTAGGGGCCTCCACACAGCGGCCTGGAGTCTTGGAGAAGACTTTGGACATTGGCTGATGGGTTCTATTGTTGTTGCATCTGGGACTATTGGAACTGGCGTAGATCCAGCAGGATACTTTGGAACCTGATTCAGTAGCGGGGAGCTCACCCTTGTTTTAAAACAAAGGCCGAAACCTAAAAATATGCTGGTCATTATCTGGAAAAGCGGCTATTGATCGAATTAAGACATGTAAACAGGGACTGGCCTCGTTTTGGTCTTGCCGGGCCTTAGTCTCTATATTGATTAGCTGTGACAAGAATAAAAGGTAGGCACGCCGGGCGAGCGGTTAGCACGTCTGACTCTCGGTTCAGAGTTTCGGGGATCGAATCTCTGGCCTTCCTCATGTGTACTGTGGGCTTTGCATACTCAATTGAAGACTAAATTGTCCATAGTTGCGAAATGTGAATGTGAATGGTTGCTGTTGTCTTTTTGTGCCCGGTCATTGGCTGGCGACCAGTCCAGGGTGACGCACGCCTCTCGCCCCAAGTCATGTGGGATTGGCTCCAGCTCACTGGCGACGCTAGCGAGAATAAGTGCTGTAGAAAATGGTGGGATGATTGAATATGATGTGACAGACTAACGGTTTCAACTTCGAGCGTTGTCTTGCATTGGGACTTACTCTTCATTTCATTGCAGCCCTTTATTTTTGTCACGGTTCTTATGGGTGTTGCTCTCGTTTCGACTGTCTATCATTTGGCTGTAACAGACTCGACGTAATATTGAAACCAGGAGCCATCGTGATTTTCATCCATTGTGATGTTGTAGAAGTCATTCACCGACATGTATTTCGGAGTGAAATTCGTCTCACATCGACCGCACATGTCTGCAGAGCTCAGTGTTTGTCTGCCTGCGCCCAGCTCAGATTCACCACAATTGCGTTAGACCAGCTGTCGACCCTACGCCGGCATTTCGACAGGGTCGAAAGCAGGCCTGAGTTTAGATCGACTTTCTGCCACCAAATTGTCACTCTTCTACTCGGCGTATCTCCAATGATACGGCCCGCTATGTCCAAACCGGTCTGCATAATCGGCAAACATGAGCAGCTTGCTCCGAATCAGGATCTGCTGGCATTTGCGTCCTGAGAGAAATAGAGCCAATTGTGTTGCCTCTTAGTTTCTTTCCTACATTGTTAGATGATTGTTGATAATTCCGGTGAAACTTTATGAAAATGAATTGTGTCCTCACACCAGATGAATAACATGAATTATTAATAACATAAATCAAGGGAATGTATGCAAACTTGTTATTTCCAGATGTGTGAATCCCACTGGTTTGCATGAAACAAAGTTTAAAAGAAGTTGCTCTCAGTCCCCAAAATGTGACCCTGGTTGTTCATTCACCAGTCGCGTTGCAGGAAACATGGAAGAAATATTTGAAGACCTCAACAGGAGCCGTGACCACCGTGACGCCCCGACATTGTACCTGACAGAGTTTGTTTAGCGCTCTATCACTTGAAATGGCAGCTTTTTATGCAGACCATTCAGAACATGCAGAATATAGAGCAATACGCGGATTCTGCTTGTGCCATTCTTGCATTCTTGCTGGAATACATTCTTCACTTTTTGCTGGAATGAATTGTGGTGTGTGTGTGTGTGTGTGTGTGTTATCCTTCAACTTCCTGCAATTTCATTTTTGAGCAGTTCCTGCAAAATCTCATCCGCACCTCTAATATACCATATTTAATTGTGTCATAGGTATCATAATCAAGGCCCAGGGGCCCGCCACAACATTTTATTTGGTCCGCGAAAGTAAATCAAGTGTCAGCTGCCATGATCCTAAAATCTGTACAACCAAAATTTTGAATTGTTATTTGTATCCATAATAACATTGACATTTTGCAGGATTTATTTTTTTTGTTCCCCTTTTTTACAATGGGATTATTAAACATATATTTGGTTTGATCGTCATAACAGCCGTCTGAGGGAAGGTGTTATCGCTTTTATTTACATTCACGTCACTTTTTTTTTCTTGTCTTAACAAATTAAAGGTTTGAGGCTGTTCGGTTTCCCCAAAGTAGAGATCATCTCACTCTTGACTGCATTTTGTTATCGCTGAACCTGGTTTGTAATTTATATTAATATCATATTAAAATACACAGACACTGCATGTTGTGCTTACAGAAAAGCCTTGCAAGTTTATCCGACAAAACGAGGACTTGAATAACTCCCACAGAGTTAGCTATTTGTTCTATCTTCGAGACACATTAAGCCTACAAGTACACCGATGTTCGAGAAACATTCTAGATGTCTGTCAGCTTTTTCTGCCTTACGTTGTCAATGTATGGGATTTTCTTAGCTGTTATTCAAGGTATGCCAGGATTGTGTTTACATAGGTGAGGGGGCGTCAGTGCTCAGGATCAGTATTTACAAGGTCCCAATGCTAACATTTTCACATCATTTTTCCAAATGAACAAGTCTTATTTTATTGAAGAGTTCAGTCTTTTGATTGTGGGCGTGTATTCGGCTTTCTTACTTCGTTTGCAGTTGGTGCCACGGTAACCGGGAGCACACACACATGTGCCATCCTCAGAGGAGCACGAGCCTCCATTCACACAGTTGCAGATGAAAGAACAGTTGGGTCCCCAGTGTCCTTCATTACACACACTGTCACAATGGACACCTGAAAAAGAGCAACGCACGCACGCACGCACGCACGCACGCACGCACGCACACACACAGAATGATAACTTAATTTCATAAATGTTATATAATGCAAATGTTAAATGTTTATGTCAAATTGTTTGTTTTACTTTTTTAAAGGACAAACAACAGATTTTTGCAACAAACTCAAACTGGGCTCTTGTTCAAGTAAATGGTAAGTGGGCCGGATCTGCACACTCATCACCATGCACCTTTTTCACACCTTCTACCTAACTTTCGACCGCAGACTGCACGGAAATGGTGACCTGTTCTGAATTTCATTGGACTAGCTGAACTTCTGAGCTAACTTGGAGGAGGTTTTACACTTTTTTTTGTGAGTAGTATCTATCTATCCATCCCCATCCATCCATTTTCTGATCCGCTTTATCCTCACCAGGGCCGCAGGTGTGCTGGAGCCAATGCCAGCAGTCTTTGGGCAACAGGCACGGTACACCCTGACAAGGGCGCCAGCCAGTCACAGGGCACAGATAGACAAACAACCATTCGCGCTTCACAATCATACCTAAGGACAATTTAGAGTATTCCATTAACCTACCATGCACACTTTTGGAAAGTGGGAGGAAACCGGAGTACCTGGAAAAAACCCACACAGGCCTGGGGAAATCAGGCGAACATGCTAACCAGTTGTCCACCATGCCGCCTTCCCTCTTAGTCATGGTTTGCAAAAAAAAAAAAACGTCTGCGAAAAGCACAGTCTAGTTTGGACACAGTGTTTCTGAATGCATAAACACAGCATGGGTTCGATTCCCAGTTGGTGCCCCAATACCCAGGCACCGCTGGTCCCAAGCAACAGGTAGCGCATGCAACGTAAAACTGTGCCAAACAAATCATGTGAGTGACTGGGACAAACCAAATGTTACAGCATTTTCAAGATCCACTTGAATAGAGGAAGTGGTCCTTTTCCACAATTTAAGATTCTTTGAACTTTTCACTCAATTAATTTATCAGGATTTTCTGGAAAATAGTCGACCCATTCTGATGTACTTTGTCAAATTCCAGGACTTCATGAATGCGCTGACAATGTTATGAGTTCTTTGTACTTGTCCCTTTGAGCCCCAGCTGTTATGGGCACACCAGGTAGACCTACACAACATTCGACGGGCGTTTCGCAGCTGAAGCTTGTTTTCAGAAAAACAGACAAACGCACCGTTCGTTGCGAACGTAGGATATTACTGGCAGTTATAAATGGAGTACAAGTTTAGGCAAAAGCCAAGAATCCTCGGAATCAGCCTAAGCTTTTTGCCCTTTAATCATTCTCATGTCTCCGTCTTTCATCAGTTTTACATGTGTGTCCTAAGAGGGAGTCTTAAAGAATGGATCTGAGCTGCCAGTGGTCACAGGGGACAGTCTGAAGGCTGCAGTAACCATGAGATTCACAGTACATTCATTCATATTTACACAAAACTCACACACACACACACACACACACACACACACACACACACACACACACACACACAGCAGGACAAGCCAGGAGAAGTGTGCAAATAGAAAATTTCTTCATCCCTCCTCTCTAACTCGGCACATCAGCGGCTCATTAGAAAGTTCCTTTGACAGAGAATATGAGAGAATATGAGAGTGAAATGTCAGCAGCCATTATAACGACTCAGTTAATAAACTATCCCTGAGCCGTACCGTGGGGGCAAAGCACTTGCCCTGTCCGTCAGACTGGTCTAATGGAAACCCAGCATGAATTAAGAAGTGGCGGATGACAAAAGGGAACCACATACTAAACAAGGCCAGTTCACTACTTTTGGTACCAGTATAAGCATAGTATCGTAGCCGTCGTCACAACATCCCCAAAAAAGGTGAAACACGGCAGCATGGCGCATAGTGGTTAGCATGTTTGCCTCAAAGTCCGTTGGCAGTGGGGCAGAATCTTGCGTTGGACTTTTCATGTATTTCTGTTTGCGTGGGTAATCTGGCTGCCTCCTTCAAAAACATCCACCCAGCCATTCTTCATTTCTGAAATCTTGTGTGTGTGTGTGTGTGTTTTGTTGTTGTTATTGTTTTTTTATGATCAAGAGCATGTGACCATAGGTGAGGGAGGGAATGTAGATCGACAGGTAAGGAGAGCTTCTTGTCTTTGGGTTCAGCTCTTTCTTCTCCACGACAGACAGACACAGAGCCCGCATCACTGCAGATGTTGCAGCAATCCCTCTGTTGAGCTCCATTTTTTCCTTCACTTGTGAACAAGATCCCAAGATACTTGAACCCCTCCAATTGGGGCAGGGCGGGCCAAAAGAGGGGCCGTGCCCGCCCACCAAGATGCTTGAGGCACGGATTTTGGAAAATATATTTTCTTATTGTTATTTTTGTCATCGTTGCTATTTTTACGTTGTAAAATACAAATTCAGCTATCATTAATATTGGCCATCACTAAGACATTACAAATATCAAAAAACTGTAATGTGATTTGGGATTTTTGATAGATGGCCAGGCAGTGGTCGACTGGTTAGCATGTCTGCCTCACAGTGCAGAGGTGCAGGGTTTGATTCCGGCTCCGGCCAGCCTGTGTGGAGTTTGCGTGTTCTCCGCGTGCCTGCGTGGGGTTTCTCCCTGGTACTCCGGTTTCCTCCCACATTCCAAAAAACATGCATAGCAGGTTAATTGGGCAATCCAAATTGTCCCTAGGTGTGAGTGTGAGCGCGAATGGTTGTTTGTCTATGTGTGCCCTGCGATTGGCCGGCAACCAGTCCATGGTGTACCCCGCGCCTACTGCCCGAAAACTGCTGGCATAGACTCCAGAACGCCCGCGACCCTCCTGAGGATAATAGTAGAAAATGGATGGATGGATGGATTGATGGCCAGTCACGGCAACAGCCAATCACAGCCTTACTAAAAATCATGTTAGATTACTAAACCTGTTGGATTGGTAGTGCACGAAATGAATCGGGGACTCCTCTCTCATTATTTTCTGCAAGTTAATATTTAGATCTCCAATGGAAGGAATCAATATTCTCAGTTGGTTCAAAGGCCAGTGCCTCAAGGAGAGCTTGCAAAAGAAAATCTGGCCACACTGACTTCAGTCTCCAGCAAATCGGTGAATGTAAACTGATCTTATATGTCTCATACAGTGAGTGCATGATTTACCTGTCCATCCTGCGACACAGCGACAAGCGCCGGTTACTGGATCACAGCCATCGGCATTCGCACAGTCACATCTCTCTTTACAGTCCAGGCCATATGATCCCTCCTACAAGCCAGGAAGCAAATGAGCTTACAGTACAAAAAAAGATCAACTTTATTCAAACGTAAAAAAACAGAAGGGGGGAATAAAAGTGAATTTCGTGAGCACTAACATGACATGGTAAGTCACAGAATTCGTCCCTCCAGCCTGGAGAGCAGGTGCAGGTTCCATTCACAGGGTCGCAGGCTGCGCCGTTGGCACACTGACAGGTCTGGTTGCAGGTTAGACCCCAGCTTCCGCTGGAGCACGGGATGGAGCAGTCAACTCCCTGCCAACCTGGACATAGAAGCAAAGTGACAATTAGGCATCTAGCGCTTCGTTTGCATCTGACGTTTTAAAAGTGCATTTTATTCATGTGATTAGTATCAATAATGAATACAAGAACATTGAGACTAATTACAATAGCTCAAGGGGAGACACGTGAGCACACAGGGAGAGATGTCAGAGTGTCAGGGCACTCTGCACGTCATGAAAAAGAGCGTGGAATTGCTCAAGGGTATCTTGACAGTATTCTGGAAGGAGACTAGCATCTCTACAACGAGTTGCTGTTTCAATTTTTTTTCTCTTCACTGGGATCGAACTGTCACCATCCAGTACAAGTCCTGAGAGTAACTTTATTCAATATGCCACCTGTCAATTTTTTTGCAGGTCTACAGAAAAAAATAAATATCCATTTCAAAGTTGTTCATCATTAGTAACTTTTATGGACATTGACAAATATTTGGCAGGGGATTGTTGGCTTCTGTCTCAACCCAAAGCCACAAACAAGGCACTTAATTGTTTTCCCCGATCTAATTATTCGTAAATGGCAATGGTTATTACATCAAGATTGCACAAAAATTATTTTCACGTTCAACTTTTGAACAACTTTAAAGATTATTTACAGAAGACAAAAATAATTCCTTAATATTTTTTAAGAAACAGCACATGACATGAGAATGATCTGGGTCCCAAAAGGTGACATCAGAAGAAAAAAAACAATCCCTCGCAAACATTTGGAATTCTCTCACAATCATTATGAGATCAGACTTTTTTTTTTTTGCCGGGGAAGGCCTTTTTTTATTTCTAAATGAACATTTATGTACTTGTGGGTCAGTTGAGCTACTGTATCCTCTAATGGGAATGGTATTACGTCAAAGGATAGGAAGAGTCATGGAGGGGGACTTGAAACGGTTCAAGAAATGTCCCTCACGTGGACATTGCACACCTGAAAAGAGAACACTCCATTTTTGTTGCTTTTGCTTATCCGGAGAATGACCCGCAAGTACATAAACATGCAATTAAAAAAAAGGCGTCTCTTCACCCCAAAATTTATACCACAATCATTGCAAGGGAATGCAATGTTTTTTGCCGGGGGAGTGCAAAGTTTTAATTTGTTTCTTCCATGTCACCTTCGGGGCTCCGCAGATTGACAAATCTTTTGTGTAACAATATAGTGTCATGAATTATTATTGAACATTATGAGCAATAAAAATTGGGTGTTTTCCCAACCTTGAAACTGTGGCGCTTTCCTGACTAACTTTTACTTGGCCATTTTTATTTAAAACCTCAAATTCAATGTTGGTGTTATAAAACTGGTATTTAACACTCTGGTTGAGATCAAGATGTAAAAAGACAAACAAAAAAAAAAAACAAATAGAGACTAACAACCTTTTCCGCAGATGCACGAGCCATCGACGTGTGAGCATGATATCTCATTGTGACAGAAACAAGACGAGGTGCAGTTGGTTCCATACAGGCCTGCAGGACAGGTAATAGAGCAGTCCTCACCCTAGTAAAAATTAAATGAATAAATAAATACAGAAATAAAAATCGACAGTGAAGAGAGTGCAAATATGACATTCTCATGCAACAGGACACAATCATTAATTTCCTCATTTTCTAGCATTTATCCTACTCATAATCACAGAATTTTGATCACAGAAGAACATGTAAAGACTACGGAGGTTTCAACACCAAGCTGCACTGCTGTGCAGTACAATGATAGACCAAGAATGGACAACAGATAATTCTTGAAAAACTTGCTTTGAGGGACCTTGAATTCTTTTGAGTTTCTTTTCGCAAAAAACTGGTGCACTGAGGCGGTATATGAAATTAATTTTGAAGGTTAGCTTGTGGTGACCTAGAGTGGTTAGTAATGAAGCGACCTCACTTCCTCAGCATTTTGTCAAAAGGAAAACATTTCAATGCTACAAAACAACATTCCTTCCTGTAAAACGTCATCCTGGTAATCGAATGTGTCCAAATTAGTACATGGTGAAATCAAGTACATTTACATTTGAGCTCAACAAACTTCGCCTCGAGGCAGCGACCACCAATGATGGGAAAGACCAGGCTTACCAACATCAGCAGGAGACTTTGATTAAATCATTTTGGCTGGAAGATTCAACTGTTGTGTTAGTTAATACTGTACTGGTATTCATTGGTGTGTCTAGGCCAATTGTGGGGGTGCTGAAGCATTCATAAATCCCCCAAAGTCTCTATTTGGTTTTTTTGTGTTCTTTTCAAGCTAGATACATGTCTAAAAACCATTCAGTACTTGATTGAATCATAATACTTTAACAACAAAAATACAGTCCACCCCCACTTTTACTGAAAAATGGTATGATTCACCCCACCCCTCCGACGTCTGCTTACAAGCAGCAAGACAAGCTGATCTGCGCACTGTGTGCAGAATCTCCCTCGAGGGTACCTTTCTTTAAAAAGGATATGTATCATCTAAAAGTCCATAACAACACCTTATTTTAATACCTTTTTTTTTTTTTGCTGCATTTACTGTCCAGTCATGTGGATAGGAAGGAGTTTTTTTTCTAGCTAGGAAATATTACAGGTGATGATCATAACCAATTGGCCACAACTTCCCTGCTGCCCTTATCAGATGTAGATTAATCGCAAACTTCCTGCACACATTTTGAGAGTGTCAAGCGCGCCCCCGCTTCACAACTCCCATCCGGTCGATCCAAAGACCCCTCGCCACCCTAACCCCCACATATAGCCCCTCTCTGTCACACCCATAAAGCTGTGGTTGTAGAATCGCCCCTGCTGATATTCATCCGAAATAATAATACCCACGGCTGGAGTGTATTTTGGCTCTGGCCTTAAAGCGGTGCTTCTCAGTGGATGAAATGACAAAAAGTGTCGTGCACCCTCCTTCACACTTGCACCTTCATCAAAAAGCAAAATAGCTGACAAGGATCAAAGCTCGTGTAGTCCAGCACCCACTGGGAACCTGGTTCTTGCCCTGCCGAGTACGCAAAAAACAGCTCTCTCTGCAGCTCCATGTTCCTACTATGGCATGCTCCCAACAGAGCACCTCGGGGGACATGGTGCACTGAAGATTCATGAGGTTGGATTCTCATGTCATTGTTGTTGTTTGTAGGAGGAAAGAGCAACTTTGTGACATCATGACCATTTTCTTATGGTGCTTTGGAGCCTGAAAATACAAATATTCTAGTGCGAATGGTTTTTAAGTTTTTAAGCAAGAGTTGAAATCTCTTTGGAAATTGCTGTAAACGCTTGTATGCGAAAATGGTGGACATGTGGACACGTCTGTGGAGGTAAATCGCAACAAACAAAAAGACCAGCATGCTAGGTCACTCGCCTGATGTGAAGATAAACTCAGTTCTTGTTATGTAAATATACCCATATACCCTTTTATAAACTAGTAAAAATGAAGACTGAAATGAAAAACTAATGAGGTTTTTTTTGGGGTTTTTTTTTTTTTTTGAACGTGACCAGTGATTGGCTGGCGAATAGTCCGGAGAGTACCTCATCTCTCACGCTAAACTCACCTATGGCCCTGATAAGGACAAACGGTACATTAATAAACATTTTATGGGTTGAAATTGTCTTCTGTACATATGTACAGGTCCAGCCAAATGTTTGGACACTCTTTCTCATAATACCGTATGTGAGGATGTGTTCAAATATTTGATTGGTACTATCGGGCCTAAACACATAGAATGTCTCTACTTTTAGCACTCACTAGCAAAAGAATAATAGCAGTAAAGTAATAAAACACGGGTGACTCCTTACGAATGGATTTCTTTTAAATGTCTGCACTCACGATATATCCAGGAGCACACATGCACATTCCAGTAATGCCGTCACAGTCTGCTCCATTGGCACAGGCACACATTTCTTTGCAGCCTTCACCGTAGTAAGCAGCCGGACAGGTCTCGTTGCAGAACAGTCCAGTCCATCCCGCTGCACATGTGCATTCTCCTGACAAAGGGTGACAGCTAGAAGCAAAAGCATTAGAAGGAAGGGCATAAACATATGTTACAAACTGCAGCCATTTAATGAAAGAATAGGAGCCATAGTAAGGTCATGAACACTTTGATATTTGGGGAAATATTTTTCGCTTGTTTCTTACCAACAATCCCCAAATTTAAAGATTGAGGTCCACGATCAGGACAGGACCTGGAGTCATTCATTATTTTTTTTTCTTCTTGATATGATTTTAGTGGTGGATGCTGTTTTGGTCAAGATAAGTAAGCAAGTAAATGGTTTGGCTTTCACTTCCCTTACAGTGTCCTTGAACAAGTTATTCCTGATACAGCATTACTAATGCAAAAAAATTCCACGGAGGCTTTGGCACCCTGTTCATCAAATTCCGTTTTTTCTTTTCATAATATCTTTCCTATTATCTCCAGAAACTGTTGAATTAAGCTGACTTGCTATTCATCATAGAGTATTAGATTTAATCACGATGATTCTGGGCTACGTTTACAATTTAGGTTTTTTTCCTGGAAAAAAAAACTCCCCTAAAAATTAAATCATTCGCTGCATTTAAAAGGCTTCCTAAACACATGTACAATATATATTAGGATGCTTAAACTTTTTCATCACCTGAGTGTGTTTGCCATTTTGCAGGGGCAGTCCTTGTCGCAGAGGAGTCCATATATTCCATTTGGACAAAAGCGGTCCTGGCAGCTTGGACCCTTAAAGCCCTCGTTGCAAAGGCAGGCCCCGTTGATGTGATAGCATTTAGCCCCATTCTGGCAGTCACATTTGTGGGCACACTGTGGCCCATAAGTGCCAACTGGACATTCATCCTGGCACCTGTGATCACACAAAATAGGGGACGGTTTCAAAGAGTCTTCATGTAAAGCTGGTTGGAGTGCAGGTAAAAATATTTCGCTTATTCTTTGCAGAGTCATGGGTGAGCTTGAAAATATCCATGTTGACTTGGGAGTTACCTGTCAATCACAGGGCACCTATACACAAACAGCCATTCACACTCACATAATCATACCTATGGACAACCTTATTTTTTAAAATTAGCGAGTGTCGTGATGATGATGCAGATGGTGTGTAGTGGTACATTCGCCTGATTTCGTGCAGGCAGTATCTGTTCCGTTGCCACTCAGTGATGATGTAAATGTGGTCCGTGATATGTAAATGTGATCTGTGTGTCACGTTGCGAGGTGGTGGTGGACCCCAAAAAAGCAGGCAGGAGGGAGGAGCAGGGTGTACTTGAAGAATTGTATTAAAACATAGAGAAAACTAAATCCAAAACAAAGTCCAAAGTATCAAACAAAACACATGACTGAAGATAAAACATAACAATGACCAAAACATGACTGAAACAAACATGGCAGCATGCCAACAAACAGCAACAATGACCTGACAATAAGTGGTCGGGCTGGGAGTCCTTTTAAAGCACTAATTACCTAATGACCAACAGGTGTGCAGCTGCAGGGGAAGCCCTACAGTGCCACCTGTTGGTCCCAAACCCAATCATGACACTGTGATTGACTGGTGACCAGTCCGGGATGTATTCTGCCTTTTGTCCAAAGTCAGCTGCGATAGGCTAGAGCTCCCTGCAAGCATCAAAGAAAGAATAAGCGCTATAGAAAATGGATGGATGGTTGTCATAATCACAAATTCATTTTGCTTATCATTTATTCATCACCAATCCCCAAACGTTTGTTCCAATTCGGTATTATATAACCACCCCTGTAAAAAGTTATTTTAACTCTATACAGTATATGTGCTTACTTGTGCAGAACAGTAAACCAAATTAGCGGAGGGATGGGTCGTCGAGAAACTACAACATTTTCGTGCGGAGCCAGAAAAAGGAATACGTGTGGTTTTTTTTTCCCTTTGTTGACTGTTTGACCTTGATCAATCAATATGCTCTTCAAATGAAATCAAAAACATTTGCTCCTTGGTAGTGATCATGGGACATAAATGAGAGAGAGAGATGGAAAAAAAGTTAAAAACTACATAAAATTATGCATATTGTTTAAGACTTATTGAGTGTGACACATTCCATTTAAATTTACATTGATACTATTTTTTTAAAGACACAACAGGTTGTTTCAAATTTATCCTCTGAAGCGAGTAAAGCTTCTAGTGTGGAAACATTCTGTTAGTTTGCACTGAAGGGTCTTTAGCAATCCTTGTGCTCCAGCACCTCTTTTCAAAACCGGAGAAGAACCTGAGTCCACTACATTTATTTTAAAGATCCAAATAAAACGATGTTACCTCCTAATAGAACATTGTTTATGCTAATTGAAAGCCGAGTTAGGCTAACATCTCCACATGCTCCACACATCTGCTACTTGAAGCCACAGAGAAGTAGACAAATCACTCAATTAAAATTGTTGATGTGAGGATGTCTGTTCGGTATCATGTTCAAATCCCGTTAACTTACTTGAGACTCTTATCTTTGCTAATTCCATTACAACGTGGACAAGGTGGAAGAGAACTCACTCAAGGAATTATTCCGTGTAGGTTAATTTACCTGTCCGAGCCTAAAATAAATGGATGCAATTTGGTTCAATTGAGAGTAAGGGTGGGAAGAGAGCGAAAAAAGATGGCGAGGACAACACAGGGAGACGTGGTGCTTCAGACTTATTTATTTATTTATTTATTTATTGCCAGTGAATGTATGATGGTGCTTCAGACTTATTTATTTATTTATTTATTGCCAGTGAATGTATTGGAGACAGTGGCGTTCCATCTGGGCCTTCAAGGCCTTCTCTGCCGGCGCAAACACTATTAGAAACACAGACCTACATTTACGTTTACAAAGTGGAAATAATTTCTTGCCAACAGTATTTTGCCTTCATTTAATTTCGTATATCTTGACCATGAAGATTCTGATCCTTTGCGTTTATACTTATTTATTTTTTGGGGAGGTCTAATCAGATTTCAGCTTCAAGGTGTTGCTATGCACATAATATTTCATCCAATGCCTTTAGCACCCTCGAGTGCAGGCGTTGACCACACACACACACACACACACGCACGCACGCACGCACGCACCACTGAAACGCTAGTTCTTCTTTTCGCCAATCAGATTGTAGATTCACCTCTGGAAAGCCATCAGGCAGGCCCTGTGATGAGTGAGTTTATCCATCCTCTCATTGGTTCAGCTACTATTGCTTCTGATTGGTTCAACTCAACGTGAGGCCCAAGCTTGATTTACAATGGAGGACAATATTGGGCCACAAGTGAAAATTCACTTTCAAGGTGTAATTCCAAAGACAAACTGGACTTTATGAGGCTATTTCAACCCACACTGCTTGGAAGAGTGGCTTGTTTTCAATTTAGATTTTTTGGGGCTGAGGGAGGCAATTTCAGAGTAGTTATGCATGAGTGGACAAGTTTCCCTACACCAGGGGTAACAAACCTTTTTTGACCAAAGACCTACTTTTCAAGCAACCAACCTTCCGCCATCGACCTGTGACTGCCCGTGCACGCACCCATATGCCATGATGAGCAACAGCATTAATGGCCCCAGAAATGAATGAAACAAAAAAATAAAGTAGATACAAGAGTTTGTGAGTTTGTGAAAAGGAAATAATTGCCTACCTTAGTAAAGACCTGATGCAGAGGCATTGGAAACACTTTAGCAGCATGTTAAGTGCAGAAACTCTCGTACTTATGCGTACCGTTTTAAAATGCTTCTCCTGGCGCTCCAGATTGCCATTCTTTGCCAGTGCCATTGGTGAATTGTACATGAAACTAACTTTGAATGACAATAATCATAATAATCAAAGATGTCTCAAAACAGCTCTGATCGCAAGCTGCAAGAGCACAAAGCTGATCGCTAACAACATCCGGTGATGCAGATCATGCGCCACCTGCTTTTTTTATTTGATTTTTGTCATTTTCTGTGGGTGTTTGTTTTGTATTCAGCCCCAGCTGGAGTGAAGGGCGTTTCCGTCCAGCAGGCGCACCTGTTCCTTGTTTCCAATTAAGCCTTGCTATGTATTTAAGGATTGTCAAGCTGCCTCTTCTTTAATCTTCTTTAATGCCGCACCGACCTCTTTCGTATCAATACGTGCGGGGGAGAGTGCTTGGAAGGGAGATGATACAGACAATTGTCTGTGAATCTGCAAAGGTGTTTTTAGGAACAGTTTAGTAGCACACTCTGCCGTGTGAACGTAGCCATAATTATAGAGTGTTTTTTTTTTGGAGGTGGGCGGGGAAGGAGGGGGTACATATTGTGACGTTATGGCATTATCAGGAGGTGGATTAAATACCCACTGTTGGGCCTGGTCCAAAAGTCACCGCCCTCCACCGATTGGAGATGTTGGAAAAACAGTAAACAAACAACATCAAACGGCTCATGATATGAATGTAAGATCTACTTGTATCTTTTGAGCGAAAAGAATTTCTACTCTAAAATAATTCAACAAGAGGAATGCTGAAGAATGCGTTCCTCAAATACAAAATAATGGAATGACTAAAGGACTATATTTCTAATAGATTGAATCATATTACTGTATAGTAATCTCAAGACTGCACACAAATGGTCCGTCCCTCTGGAGAATGCGAGCAGGCTCAGGGTTGAAAAGAGAGTACGAGTCGTGACATCATCTTATGACATCATCTCAAAATGTATTATTGTAGAAATAAATGAGATAGTCTCACCAAGGTCAACACATGTATGAATATAATAAATTGGTCGAGATTTCTACTGATCAGCTCGAGAGGACGGTACCATCTGATTATTATTCTATCCTAGCATGTGTCAAAAAAAGCACCCGTACAGTACATATTAATATGTTAAATCATTGATTAAGTTGTGACTGTCTACTCAAGGGTCAATATTCACTTGAATTGAAGCTGCAGTACATAAAGAAATTATGTTCACCCACCTACCCGGGAAATGCTTTCAAATTATGCACACAAAAAAAAAAAACCCAAAACAAAACAAAAAAACAGTTCAGGTCCTACAGTGGGAAAAGTGGAATATGTTGGATATTTTGGAACTAAGTCAACTAAAAATGTGAACCCCCTCCAAATGCATAAAAAACTGAGATCAACCTTGCTCAGTCAATAATAAAAGACATTAAACACAGACAACTTACGGAAGTATGTACCGTGAACGAGGAGATACATTCACTTCGTCAATTCAATTTGTCAATGTGGTCTTTATCCTCTAGTTCTTTTTGGATTAAGGTTATTCCCCAAAGTAATTTATAATAAATGCCCCATCATCTTTGAACATCATCTTTTTGTCCGTTCGTGTTGTGTACCTTTCTCCAATGTAGCCAGCAGTGCATTGGCACTGGCCGCTGATGTGATCACATAGGCCTCCATTACGACACGTACACTCCAGGGAGCAGTTGATGCCGAATGAGCCAAACTCACACGGCTGCGCGCACACAGGACCCTAAGAAAGGAAGACGACAAGACCTTACGCTGGATAATTTGGCATCTTTGTCTGGAAAAAAAGGAAAGTTGCAAAATTCCTCATACCACCCAACCAGCAGGACAGGAACACGCCCCGGTCACATGATGGCACGTTCCGCCATTTTGACAGGGACACCGCTGCTCACACAGGGGGCCGTGCTTCCCTGGTGGACAAGGTTCCTTGCAACTAGACCGAAAAAAACATTGCTACAATTTACAATTAAATAAGTTACATATGAACTGGGAAGCTCGAATATTCAAACACAGTAGTAAAAACTGATTCTTGGAAAGTAGCCGGACAAGCGTGGATCATGCAGAAGGAACGGCACATCCATCAACCTCGACCACTAACGAAAACAATGAACAAGGTCAGTCTGGCCACTTTTAAACTTTTCAATCCACTTGTACACACTTCTTTTCGATAGTGTGCTGTTTCCATATTGTGTTAAAAACCTCCAGGGAATTTTCGCCTCAGACACACCTTCTGATAATGAAAATCGGATCATTTTATGCTGTTCTTCACTGCTGCATTCTGCTAGTGGAGCAGCTATTTTTATCACCTGAAACAAACACGTGTAACAATCATTCATTCATTCATTTTCCGATTCGCTTATCCTCACAAGGATTGCGGGGGGTGCTGGAGCTGTCTTTGGGCAGTAGGTGGGGGACACTCTGCGCCGGTTGCCAGCCAATCGCAGGGCACACACACTCACACCTAGGGACAATTTGGAGTGATCAATCAGCATGCCATGCATGTTTTTGGAATCTGGGAGGAAACCGGAATACCCGGAGATAACCCACGCAGGGAATTGCGCATGCAAACTCCACACAGGGAATTGGAATTGAACCCGGTACCTCTGCACTGTGAGGTCGACGCGCTAACCACTGGACCACCGGGCCGCCCATGTGTAACAATCAATCCAGCAAACACAGTACATCACCTGATCGTGATCACGTTAGACACAAGTTCCCGCATGCAGGGAAAATTGCATCGAACTTAAACAGAAGCGCGCGCTGCAGTATAAAATGCGGGTAATTTTTGACTTATCCTCATATAGACGTAATTTGTACATATTCACATTTACACATATACAGATACAGACAGAGCCCTAGTAGAGTCCTATATGTTATATTTTTACAATGCTATAAATACTAACAAAGATATCACGAATTTTACCAGCATTAAAATTATATACTATATTTAGTGGCTGTATTTACAGCTTGAAAACGCCTATCACTCGTCTTCGCACCATGGCGTATCAACACTGCAGTTGCCCTTTATTTATTCTATAATGTAGAGTTGTTGGCTGAATATCTTTGTCTAGCAATGGGGTTTCAGTCTGTATTTTATTACCGGTTACTTATTAGATTTGTTCCACGTACATGTGTGAGGGAAAACCGTGATTGAATAATGATTCCCATTCAAGTGTTTTTAAATGTCACTCACTGCTGCATTCAAGAGGCAGTTAAAGGCACTAGCTCTTGATCGGGAACGTTACGTGGCAGTTAGTATTCGGAGATCTGATTGTCATCATTGATAATTGTGATACATTAATGAACAATGACTTTGCAAAGTGACTCCAGTCACATGACATCACTGAGAAAAGTAAGGTGTTAGATTAATTGCTATTACCGGTGATTGACTTCTGATCAATCAATGGCTTACATCCTAAGTCAGCTGGGATAATTTCTACTTCAGTGTGACCCAGAAATCCACAACACCAAAAAGAAAACCACTGAGCTATTGTAAAATATGGGAGCGACGTGAAGAATACTTTCTGAATATGCATGGAAATCAAGCAAAATCTATTCAAGGCATCAACACCAACGAGGAGCTACCTACAAGGCCCCAGTGTATCCGGACGCACAGAGGCACTCGCCACTTTCGTGGTGGCATTTTGCACCGTTCAGGCATTGGCACTCAAGCAGGCAGTCCTTGCCGTAGAAGTTGGGCTCACATGGCTCCTCGCACCTCCAGCCCTGGTAGCCATCTGTGCAGACGCAGGCTCCTGTGATTGGGTTACATTTGGCCCCGTTCCGACACTGACAGCGATTAGAGCAGTGGGGACCCCAGAAGTCACTTTCACAGGCTAGACAAACAGAGAGAATTGGGGGAGTCAACATGTGATTTATTACTGAACATTCATCAATGTGTGTGCTATCAAGGAGTCACTGAGGTGTAAAAAAACAAACCAAAAGCTCCATGACAATAACCAATAATTAATTCGTTGATTTACAAAATGCGATGCTGCAATAAATGCATGCATTTACCTAAAAGAATTCATATGGAGGCTTAGATACATAATTAGTATGATGGAGAGAACTAGTTGAGAAGCTCAAGAAAGGAGATAGATTCAAGCTAAATTAAACACATGCTGTTACATAATTAAATGAATCATAACACAACAAGGCAACACTGTGTTCGACTGCTTCACATGTCCGCCTCATAGTCCAGGGTTGCAAGGTTCGATTCTGGCTTCAGCCTGTCATGATCATGTCCTGTTTGCTTTGTTTTTTCCAGTCTGAAGCTAGACAGTGGGCGTTCCCTCATGAGCTGCACCTGACACTAATCATCCTCGTGACCTATATGCCTTTAAAAGCCATGTCATGCCAACAACTGTCTGTCGGATTATTAAACCTTCCTCACGACTCCAAGTGCTTTAATCTTCTTCTGCTTTCTTTTTCCCCCCTCATATAGCTTTTCACCAGGTTAGTTCATAGTATTTTTCATGTAAGTATTTTCTTGCAGTGTATTCTCATCTTGGATTCTCTTGTCCAAAGAAGTACAGGTACTTGCAAGTGGCTAGTTCAGGCATGTGTTCTTTGTTTGTTTGTTTTTTCTTACTTCAGCTTAAGGATGTAAATGATTTTCCTTTTGGGTGGACTGTGTGTGCAGACTTCTGGTCACTGATCAAAAAGTAAAATATTTTGAGCCTCGTATAATAAACTGGAAGTACTGTATTTTTTTTCTTGCAGCAGAGTAAATCCATTCAGTCACTCATTCATTTTCCGAACCCCTTTCTCCTCAGTACGGTCGCGGGGGGTGCTGGAAGCTATCCCAGCTGTCCTTGGGCAGTAGGCGGGGGACACCCTGAACCGGTTGCCAGCCAAATGCAGGGCACACAGAAATGAACAACCATTCGCGCTCATACTCGCACCAAGGGACAATTTGGAGCAGTGGTTCTGAACCTTCTTAGAGGTACCGAACCCAACCAGTTAATATGCACATTCACCGAACCAGAAAAATAAATATATATATATTGTTGGAATAAATGTAATTCTGTTATCCCATATTTACTCTCTGTGTAACTTTAAAACCTGTTTCAGAGTGATACTTCGCAAATACCTCATAGACAATGGGGTAGGTTGATAATGGTAGACTTGTCGGACCGGGCAAGCTTAGGCTGCTCCTGTTCTAGCTTTTAAGACAATATCTTGTTGTTACGTGAACGGCTTCTGGTCAAATTAACTGTTGCTTGTGAGAAGATAACATCAACCAGGACACCATGTGAGGGACATCCCAAGCTGTGTACGTGGACCATTGACATCCAGCAGGAGCTGTTTGACGACATCTCAGGAATGAACTGTGTGTTCTCATTGGAACTCTCCTTTACTGAAACTGTTGTGGAATGTGAAAATACTCCCCACACCTTTTAGAAGATCGTGTATTAGGGACATCCTTCCAATAAATGCAAGGAGATAAACGCGGTCTCTTCAGAGTTGCCCCGGAACCTGTAACGGTTTACATTGCAGAGTCAGCTGGAGAGCTGCTCTGAGATTGTGAACCGAGACATGTTTTAGCGCGCTCTCTCTTGCAAGAAAGACAACCATGCCTCCCTCCTGAGTCTTCCTGTTCCTGATGTGTTCTTAGCATCAGATTACCAGCATTAACCTAACATATATATTTTACAAATTCAAGATATTAAAAAAAAAACGCATTTGTTAAAAACATTCATTCATTCATTTTCCGATCCGCTTATCCTCACGAAAAGTAAATACAATTTCAAGGGCTATCCTCCATGGCAGAGGCTCCGTCGAACCCCTGAGACCGATTCACCGAACCCAAAGGGTTCGATCGAACCCAGGTTAAGAACCATTGATCTGGAGTGTGCAATCAGCCTGCCATGCATGTTTTTGGAATGTGGGAGGAAACCGGAGGACCCGGAGAAAACCCACGTAAGCATGGGGAGAACATGCAAACTCCACACAGGAAGGCCAGAGCTGGAATTAAACCTAGTACCACTGCACTGTGAAGTCGACGCGCTAACCACTCGACTACCGGGCCGCCCCAGCACAGTAAATGCCTACCCTAATTTACAAAGTGATTTTAAAATGAGAAAACGATATCAAGTCAAGTCAAGTCAAGTCAGCTTTCTTGTCAAATATGCTCTATGGCGATCAGACAGCATAGATTAAATTTCCTTCCTCTCAGCCACAGTGCAAACATGCAGTACATTAAAAACACACACGGCTAAAAATTAGGGCAGCGAAACTGAACTGTATAAAAAAGACAAATATATAAATATAAACAAATAAAACAATAAAGTGCAATCAACCACAAAAAAATAATAATATGAAGAAAAGAAGTTGCTTATTCAGTTGGGATTTTTTTTCTTCAACGCAAACACTACTGGTAAGAAAGCACACAGGAGAGTACATGAAATTCAAAGGATAGATTTAAGATGTGATTTTTATAACGCAAACGGTTGTTTTTTGCACACAATCATTGAATAGAGTTCTTTAGCTTCTGATAATGTCTTTATTGCTCTCTTTATCTTCTAGATAGTCATACACGGCACTATATGAGCTATTAAAAATTATACTAAGTGTCTGGATTAGCGCTTCAATGAGAATAATGCTTGGTCCAAAGACAGGGGGCCCTTTTCGAAAATGTTCACAACTCAATGCTCTCACAAGATAAACACGTACGACCGACCTGAAAGCTTGCCTAAACACCCAAGGACAATTTTGCCCTATTATGCTCTTACTGGGTATACAAAGCTGAGGAGACCCTACAAGCTTGTTTTTATATCCGTTCATCACACAGTTAATTATCCCATTGTTTGTGTGCACACGCTTGGGAACAAAGTAAATGCACTGGAACAAATTTGTTGTGGCAAAATAGTAAACACACACAAATAAATAAATAAATAAATAAAATTAAATACCATGTCTCTCATTCACGGTTCTCGAGTCCAACCTTTGCACTACTCGATACCACTGATAATCATAAATGATGGTGCTGTAATTAACACATGATACCAACTAATCCTGAAGGTTGTTTGCACTTGGCTCCCAGTAAATAGTATGCGTCATTTTTTTCATAGGCATCCTCTCTTTAGCAATGTATTTTGACGTCTAGTTTATGGAACATGAACTGTTGGTATGAATCTGAACGTGTAGGTATGAAATGTTTTATTGTACACACTTTTACATAATCTACGGTTACATACATTGGGTAGAATTTCCTTCTTGATTGACAACATAGCTAAAGTACCGCTCCTCAGAAGGCAGGTAGCAGACAGTTTGCATGCCAATCGCCTTAGCCAAAACAAAACTCTCGGAAATGGGTTGGACAAACCAAGGAGGGAAGAGCAGTGTTGTGTGTATTACAGTATATTGAATGTTTGGACAGAGCTCAGAGCAGACTCAGGGGTGGGGTGGGGCATCACTTTCTATTCATCCTCTTTATTTCCGTCCTTCCTTCATTTATACATCTGTGTTCCTCCCGTCGTCTTTTTTCCTCCGTCATCTTCTGTCCCACTCTCAGAGAGGGGAATTCTCTTTATTACTCTTAACTCATGAGCCAGCATCATCAAATCCTTTATCCTCTCAAAGCCTCAATTATTCAGCAGCAAAGAGCCCAAATCAAATGACTAATGACTTTGATCAAGAGTAGCTTGCTGGCACCATGCAGAACTTTTTTTCAGTAAATTAAGAACAGAATAATACTCTTTGACAAGGGCATACTCAGTAAGGAGTAGTTTTTCAGTTTGTCAGTGGTGGAGTCACCCTTTGCCGTTAATACTTTGGAGCCCTGGCAGCTTATGGCCTGTGCAATATGTGCAGCCAAATAGGGTGGAAATAAAAGGAAAATTATTTTTTAATGTGTTAAGACATGGCTTGTTAATCATTGGGGTTTGTATGCACAAATTTCACACTTTTCATGTTTCAGTGCTGATGCTGAGCCCCAATTTTATAAACATCATTAAATAGTGATGCAGTCTAAAGAACTGTCAATTCCATTCCTAAAAGATAGTTAACAAGTTGGTCACTATACCGAGTTTATATATGTATACAGGATACGTGTGTGTGTGTGTGTGTGTGTATATATAAATATATATATATATATATAGAGAGAGAGAGAGAGAGAGAGAGAGAGAGAGAGAGAGAGAGAGAGAGAGAGAGAGAGAGGGGAATACAGCTATGGAAGTTTCAAAGTAAAAACAGACACATACAGTATCCTGTGCTCAGTCGAGGCGTGTCGTTGAATAGGCGCGTATAAGGTCTTCATAATCACTACAAACACAGCAGTGTGCTTCAAAACCTGATCGCATCCCAATTTGTTGACAAAGAAATCCAAATAGGCTCGGGCTGCGATATGTAGTGCTGATGAGGACATTATGTGCGCCTGTCCAAGGCATGTTTGCAGAATCCTACATCATTAAACCATTCGCTGCTCTCCCCACAGCTAATGCAAAGTGACCTGTTCTCTAATGGACTGAGTTGTGACCTTTGGTTGTGCGTGTTGTTTAGCGATAAAACATGTTGTCTTTAATCCTGGCGTATCACCAACTCTGCCTATGGAGAAATAAACCATATGGCCAAAAGTATTGACACACCTATTGAAATACACATTCATTGAAGCTCGGAAATGACTGCAGTTGAGGTTTTGGTTTTTCTTTTCAGAAAATACTTGCAAAATTGTACATTTAATCCTGTTCCAACAATTCATCATAGACGCTGTAGAAGAATGAATCAGAAACATAATCGCACGGCAGGGTAAGATGGGTTTAGTCTTTTCTTTTTGATATACAGCAAAATCAGCTCATGCTATTTCTGTTTTGAGGCCCTGTCTCATGCAATCGAGCCACTGCTCAGCATGCCTCCTTTACTGCACAATTAATGCCGAGTACACCTTTCGTTTCCATGATGACCAGCGGCCGAGCTACAACTACTTTTTGTAGTTTCACTCGTAGCCGCATCGCTTCATGTCCAAGTCACCGAAATTACACTTGTTAATTCGCGTGTGGGTCTGTACATCGGAAAAAAAAAAATCTGACTCAACCCCAATGGCAACAACTTTACTGAGCACAGTATACAATACAATTTCTTTCTTTCTTTCTGTTTTTTTCTTTTCTTTCCTTCTTTCTTTCTGTAGTTCTTCTATTTGGTTATTTTTTTGACCACCTATATGGCCAGGAATTGTAAATACTTTTGTCCATATGGTGACTCTCTGGCAGATTGGGGACCAAAAAAAAATCACCTTCAAAAATGTTGCTCGAGACCACAAAGTGAATGTAATTTTTCGGAAATAATTTGTCCCTTGTTGTGTAAATTGTCTTTTTTTTTGTGCTTTCTCTTCTCTAGAAGTGAGTTGAGATGTAAAGCGGGAGTGGGGGTGCGGGGGAGAGAGGAAAAAAAGGAGACGTGGAAGGAGAAGTGAAGAAGAGAGAGGGCCAGCTGCAGAGTGGGCAGGTCTGTAGGGTGAGTAGGGAACGGGAGCGCTTTTAGAATGAAGCATTATGCGATTGACTAGATGGCTTTTTCGACGCTGCTCGATTGGCGGCTTGAGATGAGATGTGGACTGACCTGTGTGAGATCGGGGCTGTCGCCCTGATCTATCCCAACTTGCTGTGTCACAAAAAAGGAGGGGGGGGAGAGGAATGGGAGGAAGGAGGGAGGCAAAATAAAAATGAACCAAACGTCGTAACAAAATGAGTAAAACAAACAGACTGCATTTTTTTTTTTAAAGAAGGGTGGGGAGGGAAAAAGGTGTGCGGAGGAAGAGGAGGAGGGGGGAGAAAGAAGTATCAAACCCGAGCATTCATTTCTCCATGCAGAGGCTGAAACAAATAAAAGACAACATGGGAGGAAGGAGGGGGGCGCATGCACACGCCTACAAAAATCTATATATACACACACACACATACACACACATATATATCAGAGGCGATTGCTCTAAGACTGCAAGGGAAGTTCAGCTTCCCCTAAAATGTCAAAAAGTCTGTGATCAAATATATGTGTGTACCAGTGGCGATTGCTCTCGGACTGCAAGGGAAGCTCGGCTTCCACTAAAATGTCAAAGAATAAGTGATCAAATATATGAATGTAAATTTGATTGTGTGTACATGTCATTGACTAAATATGCACTACAACGTGCTCAACTTTTGTTCCGAATCAGCTTCTTCTTACTGGTTACGACGCAACTCCCTTCTCATTCATTCCCGCAGCTTCGCTGTGCTTTAAACAGTGGACGTTGAGCGTCCGCAGAGCATCGACTGCCCGGACGCTGAGCGTTCAGGGTAGGTTGTCCCAATGCGTTGAACGGAGACGAGTCATTGGATACAAGCTGCTTTTTGTCCCGCCCACGGACGCTTGTGGTCTCTGGGACTGGATGGCAGTGGGAGGGTTACCGGACGCCAGGCTTTTCTGCATCAGATTGGATGATCTGTCTGAGCCTGTGTGCCAGTTTGATTGACATCGAAATGAGCCAATCACCGACCTTTTAGTGTAGGCATCCGTGTGAGCAAATTTTCAATTCGCATTCTGTTCTGAGTTGAGCTGGAGACTTCTCCTAATCATCTTAGCGACACTCTTTGTTGTAAACAACTAGCGACAAATTAATCTTTTATTTCTGGTGGGTTTTATTGTAGTTCCTGTAGTTGTAGGACACTAATTAAGTCCCTGGAAAAGACGCCTTGTTGGTGTGACAGGGTCACAGATCATTTTCTTGAAAAGGAATAAACGGACACATTTTATGATGTCGACCAAAATTGAGCTTCCCCTCTTTGACGGACCAGCATCCGCCACTGGTGTGTACGTACAATTGTGTGGACATGTCATTGACTAAATATGCGCTACAACGCGCTCAACTTTTGTTCCGAATCAACTTCTTATTACTGGTTTCGACGCGACTCTCTTCTCATTCATTCCCGCAGCTTCACTGTGCTTTAAACTGTGTGGACGCTGAGCGTCGACTGCGCACCCTGGGCATCGAGAGAGTTCAGTGTAGGTTGTCCCAATGCATTGAAACGAGACGAGTCATTGGATAAATGCTGGTTTTGTCCCGCCCATCGGATGCTCAGCGTCTCTGGGAGTCAATGGACAGTGGGTGTTTATCAGCTGGCCCGGACGCTCAGCTTTTCTGCATGATGATTGGATGATCTGTGTGAGGCTGAATCTCTTTTTGATTGACAGTGAAATGAGCCAATCACCGATCTTATGGTGAAGGCATCCTTTTCATTTTTTTTGAAAAGGAATGGAAAGTGGAATTCACGTTTTAATAAACAGACACATTTTATGATGTAGGCCGAAATTGAGCTTCCCCTCCTTGACAGACCAGCATCCGCCACCGATATATATATATATATGCATCTATAATCTATGGAGTATTCCTTTCAAACATCAGATCTCGGAGGGGTGTAATATATATATATATATATATATATATATATATATATCCTGCTGGCAGGATGTACAATGTGTCCTTCGGACTCCTCTTCCTGTCACATTTTCCTGTAGTCAGTTGACCTGTCTGACATTTTTCTTTTCAGATTTTTTTGCATTTAGTTTTATCTTTAATTCAACTCACGTGTCTGTTATTGAAAAAAGGTTTAGTTGTATTTAGAGAACCAAGAAGGGTTGAGGAAATTAGTGCAATTTTTATGGACTTGGTTACAAATGCACGAGACATTTATGCTGCTCTGTCTCTTCTTTCCAGTCATTTGTAACAAAAGGGTTTCTGTGCAGAACTATTTCCTGACACAAGAAGAAATTATGCAAATGTCAAATCATTCATTACCCATTATCAGGTGGCAGTCATTTGGTTGAGTTGATTTTCTTTCAGGAAAATGCAAAACAAAAACTACTTCGGTGTGCCCTGAGATTAATTTAAAAAGCATGCAGGGGTTGATTTTATAAATTCTGAGCATGAGCTTCAGCAGAACTGGCTTTCGGGCAGTGACTTAAATGGGAGCAGGGACGTGGCCAGGGATTTAGAGCACAGTGAAAAAAATATCACTTTGGGCCCCAACACATATATTCTGTAAAATGAATACACTATTTTCTCGGGCCCCTGTTTGTCATTGCTCTTTGAAACATCATTACTTTTTACTTCTGGTGCCCTTGGACGAGACCTGAAAATTAAACAATCCAATCAAGCAACTACTTGAAAATGAAGGGGACACTTCACACTTCAGTAAATAATCAAGTGAAAAATATTTGATTGCATCAGGTGGAACATGAGGAACATTAGGAACATGCTGATCCAACTTATATAACTTTCCTCTCGAAAATATATCATGATACTCAGTAGTGAGTCAGGCTCCACTTCCACTCCCTATAATGTCTGGGCCTATTTGATACTGAATGGTCCCCTCCCAGACCATGCATCAGGCAGTTGTGACAGTCTTTGGTGCAACGTGGCAGCGGTGGATGCAACGAGACAGTACATGACAGCCATGGCCAAATGTATTCAAGTAGAGTTCACTCAGTGGTCTCACGCGACCAATTGAGTCGTAGTTACTTGAGCAGATAGTAACTTGTCGGGCTGCTTGGTCGTGGAACTTCTCGTGTACTGGCCTGTCTCCAGGTATCTTCTCCATATTCTTGACACAGTGCTGAGGGACACAGTAAAACCTTTTGGCCAGAGGTGATTATTGCCATCCTAAAAGATCTTTATTTGTCGAACTAAAGTGGGCTGCAGATAGAACCTGAATACGACTACAAGTTTTATGGGACTGGAAGAATGCAAAACCTTCCAGGACTCAGCCACAAATTAAATTAGCCACCAAATGATACTTGTCAATTAGTCGGGAGATCCATGTGTTAAGACCTGGGCTCAAAAGCCATAATAAAAAGGGAGACAGACCATGTGTAAGGTTATACAAAAGGAATCTTCATTCAAGTAACTCCATCAAACAAATCCAAACTGAACCAAATTAGATAATATCAGGATCTTCAGTACTTAAGGTAAGTATCAAATACCAAGTGGTACAGCAAATAATAGAGCACAGACTTGAAGCATGCAGAGAATGTTCAGTCTGTTTCACGAGAGCTCATTTTTGCCAGCATCAAGAGATTAACTCTGTGTTTTTTACCTTTCCAGCTACGTATCACATTAGCTACCAGCACAAACAATTAGCTCGACGCTTCATTGCCTCGTAACCCTGCCCACTGAATAAATGTATTCCATTTATTTTTACACTTTTATGACAGTCTATTTGAAAAATTATGTGTGAGCTACAGCTAGGACATGATTTTTTTGGAAGCTCTCATTTGTTGTTCAAGTTAACAGAGACCTTAAAGATGCTCGATTACTGCAATGCACTTTACTTTGGAGTCAGCCAATCCTCCATTAAGCGTCTCCAGCTGGTCCAGAATGCTGCTGCTCGCCTCTTGACTGGTACTCGTAAGAGGGAGCACATAACTCCTACTCTGGCATCCCTTCACTGGCTCCCCATACATTTTAGAGTTATTTTCAAGAACCTCTTATTTGTTTTCAAATCTTTAAATGACCTCGTGCCACCTTACCTCTCTGAGCTCATCCGCCCCTACACACCTGCCTGGCGCCTCAGGTCTGCGGACCAGACATTATTAGAAGTACCAAGAACTAAACGGAGGCCCAGAGGGTATCCAGCCTTTTCCATTGCTGGTCCCTCTCTCTGGAATGACCTCCCACTGAACATTCGGCAAGCCCCCTCGCTGCCCGTCTTTAAAACCAGCCTCAAAACTCACTTGTATTCTTTGGCATTTGGCTCAGCATGACTCAGATTTGATCTTAGTTTTACTGTTTGGTGCTTTCTACCATCTTTGTTACTGATTTATTGCTTTATTGTTGTATGTATGATAGTTGCTCCATGTACAGCACTTTGTATACAGATATGGCTGTTTGAAAGTGCTCTATAAATACAGTTGAGTTGAGTTGAGTTGGGCTTATTGCATTAACATTATTCACATTACAGCGATTTATACGCGTTCTTATGTACACATATGCCTTTGTTTTTTTGTGCTGACAACTGAATCCTGGAAAGGGTTATTTCAATCAATTACTTTTTACGTCTGCAATGGATTGTGTTCTGCCTTTATTTTGCATATTTTGTCTCAAAATCATGTGGCATGGCAGAGCGACACTGACCAGAAACGCTCTGAACTGTGATGGTTTGTTGCGTGGATGAATAAATGATCACGAAGCTGTTCTCTATCTGTCATTAGGCTTTTCGATCAGTTAGCACAGGCAAGAAGTATAAGATCAATACTGCTGTCGTCCATCCAATGCCCCGCTGAACTAAAATTTAATGTCATGCAACCGCACAAAAAGGAACCAATCAGGACAAACGGGCACACACGCACGCACGCACGCACGCACGCACGCACGCACACACACACACACACACACACACACACACACACACACACACACACACACACCATAGTATCTCTTACATTTACAGCCTCTAGCTATTTTCATCCATTTTTAATTCGGCGAAATCTTTGTCACTTTGAGGTTTAGCAAAAGGCAAAGCTAACTCGGATGATTACATGACGTAATAAACATGTGCCGTGTCATTGTTTGTCAAAATATTATACATTATTAAATACAGCATTATATTTAACCCAAACAAAAGGCTATCGCTGGTTGCCGTAAAGTGAAATAAGAAATCTTGATATTATGAGTAGCTTTACTCATGGATTGTTTTTTTT